CCATGCTTGGCCTTCCAAGATGAGGTCTTCGGTAAAAGTGGTTGTCTCCCCATTGTTACTGACGTCTCTCTTGCAGGACTCCGTGCTCGTCGCCAGCACTTGCTCGACGCCGAAGACAAGCAACGCGGCCACTTTGAAGGCCTGCGCAAGGAACTCATCGCCATCTGCCGCGAGCGACACCACGAGCGCGGGGCCCGGCTTGACCTGCCGGTCCTCGTGTGCGACCGACGCCCTCTCGTCAAGACTTGGTCCAAGCAGGGTTGTTGGCTCCAGAAGGTTCACCGTTTCCGTAAGATTCTTCTGTCTCAGCTGGCTGTGATCGTTATTTGTTGACCTTGTTCCAGTCGTCCATCTTCTGAACGGTCCTTTCTGGTTCCTTGCGGTTGTTTACGTCTGGTGTGAGATTTATCACCGCCAGAATGTCTACCATCAGAACGACATCGTCGTTGCTGGCCGCGAGGCCGAGCTCGTTGCCAAGAGGTTCGAGCTCGAAGACGGCCGCAGCCGCCCACTGCCGGTCGCACGGGGTCCGCCAGTCGAGACCCTACCTACACGTAAGTCTTTTGTCTTTTATCTTTTTTTCTTTTTCCTTTTCGCTTTCATCTCTCCTCTTTCCTCCTTCATATCTCCTCTTTCCTCCTTCGTCTCTCCCTCTTTCCTCCTTCATCCTTTGGCTTTCCTCTTTTGTCTTGTTTGTTTGCCATTTGACTGATCATTGTTTGTTCCAGTGCCGACACCTGAGCCTTTCGTGTTCAGGTCAAATCCCTTCGCCGTTCCTTTTGGGATTTTCCGGGGCTTGATGCCTCCCAGCTATCAGCCTGTCACCAGCCAGGTTGATGTCGCCGAGCCCCCAACAATGCTCATGATCGAGCCTGCTCCCGTGTTCGTCACGGTCCCATCCCAGCAGCTCGTTCTTTTCGAGAGCATGCCGGCAGCCCAGCCCGCGTTCACGCCTGCTGCTGGTCCTTCGAAGATGGACGTGTTGTGCTCCTCTCTCGGGGCGCTCGCCGTCCAATGCGCCCACACGCCCATGGCTTCGATTCGGCAGGAGTCTTGGGCTGTTCAACGGTTCGTTCGTCCCGCTTTTGACCTCCAGCCAGCAGCTCTCATGCCCGCGCCGAGACTGCCTGGCTTGTCTTCGTTGGTCCAGCCAACGGTCGTTGCTTCGGTAGTGACTAGCAGCGAAGTCATGGAGACCGAGATCGTTCGCCCGGCTGTTCAGCTGCCACCCAAGCCCGCTGGCCAGCTGCCTCTTCCACCCCTGGCCCCGATTCCCGTCCCGGCCATGGCTGTCCCGACACCCCTTGCTGCCACAGACAACGTGGTTGCTCCTCCTGCCCCTGAGATGGAGGTTCGACCCCAGCAAGCGGCTGTCCAGCCTTTGAAGAGGAACCGAGTTGTTGCCCCTGTCAACTTGGTTATTCAGCAAGTCCCCCAGCCGGAGCTTGTCGTTCCACCAAGACGTCCTGCTGCCCCAGTCAATCTGGTGAGGGTCCCTCCCGCCCCGGTGCAAACCTCGCCCCAGCAGCCTCTTCCCCCTGTGCAGCCGTCACCACCTGCGCGGGTTCCCCGGAACACGCCTGCTGGCCCTCTCAACCTGGTGATTGCTCCTCCCACTCTGGCGTCGAGCTCTCGCCCCCAGCAGGCACAAGCTCCCAAGCAGCAGACGCCACCGGCTCCTGCTTCCCGTGCTCCCTCCCCGCCTCCGATCCCTTCTCGTCCCCACTGGAAGCTGGTGAAGAAGCTTTCGCCGAGCGAGGCCCAGGCCAAGCTCACGCTTCCGACGCTCGCCCTGCCGAGTGTCCCCAAAGTCACACCTGAGGTCGCCCCATTGCCTCAACCAGCACCGGTGGTTCCTGTCCCCGTGGCACCCGCTCCGGTCGCTGTCCCTCTCCCGCCTGCCGCCGCTCCCGCCATCTCCGACGCCGTCCCGGAGCAGCAGGCTCCCATCCCACCGCCTGGTTCTCGCCCCGTGGCACCCATGCGTCGCCGTCGCGCCTTTGGAAACACGGTGCCCCTTCTCCCGGACGCCTCTGTTCTCGAACAGAAGCCCCTCCCCGCAACTGTCGTCGCTGCTGCCGCCGAGTCTTCTGGCTCTGTGATGAAGGCTCCGGCCCCCACCCCTCTCCCACCAGCTCGGACGGCCCACTGGGCCGGTCTGGAGTTGCGCACTCTTGCCGATCGCCTGATCAAGGAGTGTGTCGATGTTGACGCCTGGCGTCGGCGTCTCTTTGGCGACATTGAGATGTACATTGGTGGGGAGGAGGACGACGACACCCTCTTCAGCCCGGAGCAAGCGTCGGAAGTGATGAAGACCTTGTTTCGGAGCGTGAGGAGTTCTGATGTTGGTTTCCAGCGTCAGAAGGACAATACTCTCAACAAGGTTGTCCGGATTGCGAGGAAGGAGGGATTGGTGATTGAGAGGTTGTGATTTGGGTTGGCGTTTGGAGTTGTTGGAATTTGGAGTTGTTGGAGTTTGGAGTTGATGGATTTGGATTGATGGATTGGGTTGGATGGAGGATTGGGTTGGAGGATTTGGCATGGGTTTTGGGATTGGGATTTTGGGATGGAGTTTGGGTACGGCCTGGAGGATTGGGTCTGGAGTTTGGGTTTTGGGTTGGAGGATTTTGTACAGAGGATTGGGATGGGAGGACTTTGGGATTTAAGCTCGGGAGGAGCTTCGAGGTACAGTATGCCCTTTTTGGTTTTTGCTAACGGTGTACAGGTCGGTTTTTCATTTCTTTCAACGTGTCCTGGGATGAGGGGGATCTGGGTTCGGTCGACAACTGGGTTTACGCTGCACGGCGTCTGAGGTTTGGAGCTTTGGGCACGGCGAACACTGGTTGGGGAGCATCGGTCGGATTATCATGGTTTCTTTTGGTGCCCAGGACATCGTCGGGTCGGAGGAGGACGACGGAGGACTTTTTGTTGGGGTGGATTCATTCGGCAGCATGCCATGGTGCAAGGACTCTGGAGTTTGTAGCTTTGGGGACTCTTTGGGTGCTGGGAGGACCGAGATGGAAGACTCTGGCGGATTGGACGACGACGGACGACGGACGACAGCGACAGCCATCAGCGACATTCTGGTGGTGCCAGCCCGAGCTGGTTGTTAAGATAGGACGACAGTCGTCGCGGCCATGGGGGATTGCAGCCTAACCTCTGCCCACCTGTGGATTTGCTACCTGTGACGTGGGTTTTGTTAGGTTTCCCCACGCCCCAACGCCAAGTGGTGTTGCCGAATGGGCAGGTATGCACAGCAAAAAACGGTCAGTGTATTAGTTTTGTTGACGATATGGGGGTGTTTGGGGGTTGTTTCAATGTATTTTATGGGGGTGGTTGTTTTGGTGTTGACATTTTGTGCCTCTTGCAATGTGACTTGTTTGATGTGAAATGGTGATAGTTTTCTTGGTGTTGAGAAATGACTTGAGTGAGTTTGACCCCGTCCCTCTGTGCCTGTCCTTCTATCCCTCTGTCCCTCTGTCCCTCTGTCCATCTCTCTTGTGATCTTGTTTGTTCAAATATCTCTAATCTCAACCACCGCTTTCCATACTTACCTGATGATTCCATTCCGTAATGATTCCATTCCGTTCTCTACATCATCTTTCGATCCCGCATAAGTAGAGAGCGACATTGCAAAAGTCATGTGCATTTTTCCTCCTTGAGGCTCCCATCACACTTCAATCTTGGCGACGACACTCGCCGCATCAGCTCCGCTCTGTTGGTATAACCTCACTTCGATCTCTTCAAGCTTCATGCTTCGCTACCTACCATTTCTTTCTCTCCAATCCGTGGCCGCCATCCAGATTATTCGTGCTTGGACTCTACTTTGCAGATTCTCCATGCTGTCCCATCCCTGCAAAGTGCACCCGCACACAGCTCATCGTGACGTGATGGCCACCATCTCAAACTCCCAACTTGATGACCAGCAACCCAAACCACGAACTTTCACGATACATCTCTGCAACACAACCGGTGCTCTCTTCAGAACGTCCATCAATTTTATCGCCTCATTTGCCCAATTTCCAAGCCATATTATCAACTTGCACACGTTGTACGAAGCGGTCAACACCATGCACGAAATCGGCGATGCAGTCATATACAAAGGCATGCTATTCCCCTATTTCTTGCACATTGCATACTAATTCTGACGACGTCTCAAAACAGGTGCGGAAGGCGACGAGGCCCTCGGCATCGTAAGGTCAGTCATGGAGCCAACGAGCAAGACCGCCGCGACGTTATACGAGGTATGTGATGTGCCCCCTTTGTACCCTCCCGAAATTTCTCTTCCCCCCCCAAACCCCCCAACCCCCTCCCCGCCTCTTTTGCTGACCCGCCCTCCAGATCCAAGACATCGAATCAGGCGAAACCTTCACCGTCGTCGAGACTAGAGTCCACAACCCCCCCACCATCCCGAGTAGTAGTACATCATGATGATTCGGCCAGCCTATTTTCTCTCTCCAATATATCTTGGCGTTCGCGGAGGAAAAAAAGGGGGAAAAGTGGATCCTGTAAATAAAACCCGCGGGGGGGCTGACTCATGCGGCGTGTCTTTTCCCCCCAGCCACACTGGCCCCATGAAATAATGAACACCTGTTGCAAAGTCTCATCGAAATTGAACTGGCTCAATGGTCTAGTGGTATGATTCGCGCTTCGGGAATTAAACTTGAACTTTAAAAAAAAAGTCGAGAAGCCCCATCAGAGTTTCTGATGATGATTGTGCGAGGTCTCGGGTTCGAATCCCGATTGAGCCCTTTTTTTGATCTTGGTTATTTTCATCACACTTTTTTAGTGATGATGATGGTGGTTGCTATTCTTTTGGTGATGGTGGTGGTTATTTCATTTGGTGGTGGTTATTCCATTTGGTGGTTATTCCATTTGGTGGTGGTGGTAGTGGTGGTGGGAGGGGGGTTGGGTTGGGTTGGGTTGGGTTGGGTTGGGTTGCAAATAGGAGCAGCTGTGGTGATATCTATCTCTTGTTGATGTTGTATTATGTCTTGGCGCTAATAACTATCCCTTCTCCTCCTTTTGCGCTTGCGCGCAAAGAAGGTATCCTCCACTGTTGAGCCCTCTGAAACAGTCCATATCAAGACTTCGGGGCGGTCAGGGGCTGGGGAGGTCGGAGGTGGAGTTGCGACTGCAAATGGATCCCAGTATTTTGTCAGTATAAAAAGGGGAAAGTTGGACGGTTGGGAAAAGAGAACTGCTGCTCACCTTGTTGACTCCCCTGCCCACCATCAACGCTACTCTGCGTGGTGCTCAGCCGCTCCGTGTCGGACTCGTCCTGCTCGGAGAGCATCCTCTCCATGCTCCTACTCGGTGAAACTGGTATATGCCCTGTCGAACTCGTAGGAAAGAGAAGCAGCTGGTTGTTGCTGCTAGTAGGGCTCGGGTTGTAGTACCCAATGCCGCCGCTGGGCGACTCGGAGCTCATCACCTCCAAGTCCCCGAACGGCAACGACGGACTCCTTCCCTGGGGTGGTTCCCTCGACCGGTTTTGCAGCAAAGTTTTGGCAGCCACGAAACGCTGGTAGTGGACTTGGAGTTCTTGCATGTTGGCGTCATGTTGGGATTGCCCCCCTACAACCCAGCCAAACCGTTTCCTCACTGTGGTCTTTGGACGTTTGGCGCCTTTATCATCTCGACGTTTTGGGGATTGGTCTTCTGGTTTGGCCTGAAGGGAACGGGCGCTGGAGGTAATGAGATCGTCCAGGTTTCGGATGGCTTCTTGGATTTCTTCAAAGTCATGATTGCTTGCGGTTTCAGATCTTTTGACGTCGAAGACTCTGTCGCGGAGGGCTTTTGCGTTGGTGATTTCGGCTTGGACGCTGGAGATTAAGCGGACGGCGCGTTGGATTTCTTCTGGGGCACCTTTCAAAGCTTGGATGGTTTGGGCGGCTGTGAAAGACTCGTTGAAGAGGCTTAGGCCTGTGGTGATGGGTTCTATCACTGCTGACATGGTTCGTTTTGTGGAGAGACAATGCCGGGACAAAGGGTCTCTGCAGACAGGACTTCTCTGGGGTATCATTGCTTTTATGGTAGGACTAGAAGGCTCGGTGTGTTGGGGGGTGGCATGGTCCGCGATCCATCTCGGTCAGTGTTCCACAGGCGTCGATGGAGACGGCTGAGACGCATCATACTTCCCTTGGCGGTAGTCGGGGGCATGTTACCGCCCTGGCGTGCATAATGACCCGAAGCTTGATTTGTCTGGACGCCCCGGAACTCTGGCAGGATGCGACCACACCTTTGGCTTCGCCACGATGGGCCGGCGAAGGAGTGCCTGTCCCTGATTGGGCTGTGCCTTCAAGGCACTATTGGCTCCTCCACAGCCGCTGCGCGCCATCCCCGCAGCCGCAACACGCACTCACTGACATGATGCAGCCCACAGGGAGCTTGGCTGGTTCAGGTAGTTAGGCGTGACGAGCAGGTGAGGTCGGCAGTTGTCCTCAAGGCTCACCAGATCGACATGGGAAGAATGCGAGGTCGTTGACCGCTCATCATGAAGCTATTCTAGTGTTATAGCTGAAGCATCACCCAGGCGTCGACTTGAGTCCCTCCTCCTCCCACTCTATCGTAAAAGAGTTCTTGTCCGCGTACTGCTTGTCATCAATCCACATCTCAAACCGGGCATCCAGAGCTCCTACCACAAAGCAGACATCATACTTGATCTCGTAATACTCCTGCTTTTCCTTTGTGAGCCTTCCAAAGATTCCAGGCCTTTTTACATATCTGGTGTGTGTTTCAATGTGTCGTCTGTCTACCGTTGAGAGATCAGATTCGACCGTGCAGAGGGGGAAGACGTCCACTGCCGTGCTGTTAGTTTCCAAACTTGTAGTGGTACCGAAATAGGGGCGAACATACCATCTGTTTTGCTGCTGGGCAAGTCATCTTTGTCTCGGTGACATATCACAAGCTCTCTTCTAGAAACTCCCGGATGGTGACGGTTGTTGAAGGCTTTACTAAACCCTTGCCAGCGCACCCCTTCTTGTGTATTGATGTCTTGCCCCTGTGTCTGGTGAGGTCCTGTTCGGAAACGTTGGTGCTGATCAAGAATACCATAAAGACTCACCTTTTTAATCACCCACTTGATCCGGTTCTCTACCACATACTCACCGTCAAGCCCGGACTGGATCTTTTCCCACTCCTCGTGCCGATGTGGATCCCATTTCTCTTGTGTGACAACGCCATAGGAAACTCGAGCCTTTCTGACGCCCAGCACTGGCTTGCCATGCCGTGCCTTTTGCTTGCGGTCAAGGACAAGACCCTTTGCGACAGCAAGTGGCGGCTCGTCCCCGTCTGCAGCCACCACCTTGATGGGGAGTGGGAATGCCTCCCTAATCTTTTGCTGAACATATGCTGAGCTTCCCAGTCCGCCGGATAAGATGAAGTATTTCTGGAACGCGTCAGTATCGTAATCTCTCCTTTCGCCGTTGAACAGTCTCAGGGACTCACAGGGCGTGGGACATCAGCCTTGACACCATGCTCCAACATCTGACGTATGGCGTTGATGATGCCCTCCACTTCAGGATCAAATAGACCTTGGAAGTCGGAACTGATGGGCGATGTTAGAGGGGTGCTAAATTTCTCTCAGAATTTGGCATGGGTGTACTTACTAAGAGAAGTTCATCTTGCCATCTGTTATCCTCGCCGAGGTGCTCGAGGTCCCCCCTGATCTGATGGGCACTGTTATTCTCGGCGTTCGAAATTGAGCTTCTGAAAAGTTGCCAAATTCATGTTTCCATGTCTGAAACTCTTCGCTATGCATCATTGTGTCCTCAGCATTCCTGTGAAAGACAAGGTGAGAGCGGCCAGCATTGGTGTCTGCCCTTGCCAGCGCCAACCGGCCATGAACCATCTTTGCGAACGCTAAATCGATGTTCGTTGAGCCAATGTTGATACCCTGCACAATGGCGCGCTCTCTAAGCTCGGCAATCTCGGCAGTGCCGCACTGCTCAAGCAAGGCAAAATCAGTGGTACCACCGCCTGCATCACAGGTCAAGATGACGTCCCCAGTCCGAAGGGTGATGTCCCCGTCCTTGGCGGTGTACACTGCCGCGGCCTGAGGTTCTGACAAACCCCATGAGACGCTGTGATTCTTTCCTCCAGTTCCGAAGCCGGCCTTTTTGATTTCTTTCATGAGAGCATCGCTGATTTCGAGGGACTGAAAGGTGGCCGGAAGACTGAAGACGAACTCGACCTTCTTGTGCCTCCACTCCTCGTTCTTTTGGAGGTTTCTGCTGATGTGTTTGTAGAGGCGCTCCATGTAATCTCGGTAATACTTCCGGACTTGTTCAATGGTTTCGAACTCGGGCTCCTCGCCATTTTCTCGGGCTCGTCGGATCATGATCTTGAGATACTTCTCATCAAGATATCGCTTGAACCACTCCACAGTCTTTTCGTGGTTGTTGCAGGTGAAGCCCCATGCTGTTGGTACATCATGCTTGTGGTCGTAGAGCAGAGTTGACGGTACTTTGTTGTGTGTTCCGGACTTTTGGTCTGGTAGTGGCCATTGTTGGATCATGCGGGGGCTTTCTTGGTGCTTTTTGGCGACAGCCACGCCTGTTGGGACTTGTCAGTCTGCAGATACTCAATTTCTCTTGGAGTAAAACGCTCACCTGTGCATGTCATGCCAAAGTCGATGCCGACCGTCAAGTCGGCTTCATCTGGTCTTGGAGCCATGGCTGATAGGGGTAAACACGCCTCACTCTGCACAGTGTTTGCTAAACAACAAGCGAGAGGCCCGATATGAGAAATAATCGGGTCGAAATTGGTACACTCAAGGAGGGCCCGTGTGATGGTGTCAGTGACGACTGCTCTGGACGATGAGGTGAGAGGAGTCTGGATTTAACCCAGCATGAATGGGAAAAAGCACAAAGGTTCCATGGAATTACAAGTAGCAAATCACCAGCCGCAAGGCTACGGTTGCGGCACAAACTCGCAGCACCGCCCCCGACAATATTGCATTAATCGACCGGATCCAGCCCCGAAGGAGAACTCGGGGCTGCCTCTGAAGGTGCCCCGCGAACCCAGCCTATTTGCCAGAATCACACCACGGCACCACGGTCGCCTTATGGATCTTGATGGTGTGGGCGGTTTGGGATGCTCATCGGAGGGGGCATGAATATCGCGTGCCGTGTTTGCCTACCTAGTATGCATGCATCCACCTGCAGCAAGCTGCGCCTCTTCAGGCTTGCACGGCACTGTGTCACCCGCCTCTTGAAGGCTTTGTAGGTGACAAGCGCCTGCATTCCACGTCATTGTCCCCTGACAACCACACCGAATTTCCGTCCCGGATCCTTCTTGTTTCCTTGACCATTCTTCATATTCATCATACCGAAAGATAGACAAGGCTTTGGCACCGTCCCCACGAACTCTGTCTTCAAGAATTTGCAAGCAACTGAGTCATTCATACCTTCTACAGTGTCGATACCGCCCGAGTGACAATGGGGAATAAGCAGTCGAAGCAAGATTCAATTCAAGAAGCCAGCACTACTGCTATGCCACCACCTCCAGCGCCAGGACATCCATATCCACCAAGGACAAACAGCATCCCCAAACTTGACACCGACTTCCTGCTACAACCACCTGATGAAAGTTCCATCAGACGCCCGTGGCTGCAGCTCAACAATCTCATCGATTCACATGTTCAAACGTTTTACACCAACATCGCCAGCATCGACAACATTGCCCCTCGCGAAAAGATACAAGAAGTCCTGCTGGTTTCAGGAATCGTTGAGAGCACCAAGGACGTCGATAACCTCACAGAATTACTTTACGTTCCGAGGCACAGGAAGCTTGGGTTGCGAATATGTATTGCCCGGGCAGTGCTTGCGAGTATCGACTTTCAGAATGGAAGCCCTGAGATGACATCTCTCGACAGACAGGTTGTGGAGCTCATGAGCCGCTTCAAGACACTGCGGCCTGAACGAAGTCCAGAAGAAGAGGCTGCTATCGCCCACTGGCGTATGATCACCGCCTTTTTCCTGGCCCCAGACTCGAAGCACTCAAGAGCGGATCTCGCCGGGGAGATTCCATGTGTGGACGTTCTCGTCAACTTCCTTGGGCTCTTCAAGCGACATTCGGATATTGCCAACCCGGAGCGAGCCGAACAAGGAACGAACAACGCAGACCAAGATTGGAAGGGGAGCATCAGGACCATCGCCCTCCACGCCATCGGCATTGGAGAGAAACTATTCTGCCACCCCTCCACCTGGACCTTTCGCTGGTGCTCGCATCGCAAGGAACAACAAAGAGAAGCCTCGCAGATAGTGCTATTCCCAGCTCTTGTTGAGGACGTGCTGTCAAACAGCAGCAAGAGACGTCACAACACCATTCAGGCAGCCGACATCTCTCCTGCCTTTGTGTTCTCACCGAATGGCACCGTAATACCGGCACCAGAACAACAACTAGATCCAATACCGGCACCGGCGTCACCGAGCAGATCACCGAGCTCCACTGCCTCGAGGCCAGCCAGCATAGGATCTGGCGGCGGCGGCGGCGGCGGAGGAAGTGGCGGAGCACGCTGCACTCCGAACCAAGTCATTGCCGCCAGATCATCACGAAGGAGCTACTTTGGAGAAGACAGCCCTCAGAACCATTACGTGACGGTGAATGGCGATACAGGATTCTCGACAACAATACCACCGGGGTCAAATGTGAATATTGTCGTTGTCCCAAGACGGCCGTCAACCTCTCGCACCGGCAGCGGCACGCTGGTCTCCCCGGTGGTGTATGACAATCGAAGACCGATAGTGATCAGTCACTCTCCCGAGTCTCATTCGAGACGCAGCAGGAGACCACACTCGGCAAGTAGGGTGGTATATCCGGAGGAGTATGGGGAAGACTACGAGCGTGTCAGCAGGAGGGATAGTGCCAATCGGTATCGGACAGCATAAATAAATTATGAAGGATGGTGGATGGATTGTTTTCACAGTGATGGATCATGAATGAAATCCCGAGCGGCGTTGATTGCTCATAATGACCCAAGCGCCAATGTCATATTTTTTTGTCTGATATATTTGCCTTGAAAAACGCCATCACAGGGCATCTGTCCCGATGGCTCAAATTGACGTCGATATTCCCGTCGGGTGAAGATCTGGACAGTGGCCCTTCGTCAGAGGTCACCATTTGATCAGTTCCGGGTCGCGGGTGACCCCCACACGATGGACAGCACGGTTAGAAGCGGACGGACTCGGTTTCCGGACCAGATCCACGGGATTTACAAGCGTATCAAGGAGATGCCTCACCCAAAGCACTCAATTCCCCGACAGTCCATTCTCCAACACAAGTGAGTCGCATTCATCAGATACACTATTATATTGCTCTTCAGATTAGTTGCAGCTGAATCAAGCACCCGCCTCTCATTGGCTGCCTTTTGGTGGGGCACTGCGCCGTTGGAGCAGGGGCTTCATCCCAAGTTCAGTTGCTGACGGAGTGAATTCCGACTCTCGCATTTTCATAAGAAAGACCATTTTCTCTCGCTTCCTTTGCTGGTTTTTCCTTTCCTTCCCTCATCATCACCATGGCGTTGCTGGCCGCAATCAACGACGCGGGCCTCGGCGCCCGCCATGCCGCGCTCGCCATTGCCTTCTTGCTGGGATCGGTTATCGCCCACTATCTCTTCCGAGGCTATCAGGTGAGAAAGACATTCAAGGATCTCGAAAAGCAAGGTATAGTGAGTACTCCAAGTCGGCCCCTCCAAGAAAGGCCACGACACTGACCGACAACTCACAGCCAATTATGCAACATTCATGGATACTTGGCCATCTCGAAATCGTCGGCAGACTCCTCAAGGACCTGCCCTCGGACGCCCACGGCAATTACCTCCCGATTCTCATACTCGAAAACTGGCGCGAACTCTTCCCTCAATGCGACAACCGACCACCGGTCCTCTACCTCGACATGTGGCCCTTTGCCCAGCCATTCTTGTTGCCCCTCCTGCTGCCCATCGCGGTCCAATTCACCCAAGACCACTCCCTCCCCAAGGCTCACGAGCAAAACAAGATCCTCCGACCCCTGACAAAGAACAAGGACCTCTCAACCATGGACGGAAACGAGTGGAAAGTCTGGCGGAAGAGGCTGAATGTAGGGTTCTCGATCCAGAACATCACGAACCGCATCCCCGACATGCTGGACGAAGTGGAGAAGTTTTACGACAAGCTCGAAGCCAAAGCTGGGAGGAATGGCGAGTGGGGCCCGGTCTTCCAGATGGAGTTGCAGACGACGAAGCTGGCGATGGATATGATCTTTCGCTTCTTCTTCGGCAAGCAAGTCCATGCCAGACTGGCCCATGTCCAGCCAGCCCTCGAAGATGCCGTCATGGACACGATTCGGAGATTTGTCTTTTTTCACCACATCGGCAACTTTCTGGTCGAACACAGCCCTTGGAGGAAGTTCAAGTTGTGGAAGAATTACCGGACTTTGATGGCAGGATTGGGCCCCGTCCTGCACCAGCGACTGGGCGAGTTGACCGCCGACGATAAGCCCCGAGCCAAGGTTGCCGACACCGTCGTGGACGCCCTGATACAAGGAGTCATGGAAGATCGCGACGCAGGGTTGGTCAACACATCGGACCGGGATTTCTTGGAATTGGCAGTTGGGCAAGTCGGCATGTTCATCTTTGCTGGACACGACACGACTGCGAGCGCTATTTGCTGGGTTCTCCACTTGCTATCGAAACATCCCGAGGTTTTGGAAAAGGTCAGGGCTGAGCACGACGCGGTTCTTGGGCCCGACCCGAATGCTGCCGCCAGCGTGCTGCGCGCGAAGCCAGAGTTGATCAACGCGCTCACTTACACCAACGCTGTCATGAAAGAGGCCATGAGAGTACATACCAACGTCGGCACCATGCGGAGGGGCGAGCCCGGTTTCTATCTCACAGGGCCAGCCGGGAGTGGATATGATGGGGTGAAATTCCCTTGCGGGGAAGGGTGGGTGGTATGGGACAACACCTTTGCGCTGCACAGAGACCCGGAGCAGTGGCCAAGGGTACATGAGTTCATACCAGAGAGATTCCTGATCACGGACGAGAACGATCCTATGCACCCACCAAAGAACGGCTGGAGGTTCTTCGAGCTCGGGCCGAGGAACTGCATCGGGCAGCATCTGGCGATGGTGGAGATCAAGATGGCGCTGGTGCTGGTGTTGCGGAGGTTGGATGTGAAGGCTGCTTGGGATGAGTGGGATGCTAAGAGGTGCGAATTCTACCCATCGAGTCTTGACAAGGTAACTAACATGAAATCAACCAAACAGGGCCCTCAAGGGAAAGAAGACGTCCATGATATGGGGTGACAGGTGTTATCATGCTGGGGGGGAGTCGCCGCCTCACGTCAAGGACCACATGCCGGTTCACATTCGATTGAGGCAGTAGTCGCTATTGAGGAGGCACGTCATGCGTTTGATTTTGTCTTGGAAACGGGAAGCGGAGGAAAAGAAAAGCGGACAGTAATGTTTAATGACAGTATTAACAAACCTCATAGGCTACTTGATTTGTCGCTGAATTCGTCAAGACCCTAGACCCTGAATTGTGCTTTTGGTGTGGTGATGAGCCTTTTGATACGATTGCCGTGTGCTGGGAATACTACCTCTACAGGATCACAGGTCTCGGTTTCTCGGCGGTGAGAAAATGGTGAGGGCCTCTGATTGGGCCGGCAAGGACGAGCTCGATATTACCAACCTGCGAGGGCATCCTGCACATTCACCCCCGGCTACCACGAGGGGATTTGAGAACAATAGCCGTCATGCGCCGGCTACCCGGTTATCTGCAGCGCGGGGATATATCCCAAGACCTGCCCCCTCCTCGAGGCTGAGAAATGCTTGTTCATTTTGGTTACCACTCCGCAACGGCATTCACCTCGACATTCAACAGAATGAAAAGCTCAACGATTTTGGCCTGGTGGGCTTTGACCGCTGGCCAGGGGGTGATTGCAGCAAGGGTGAAGCTTCATGTTCCTATTGTGGACTTGGACTATGCGGTTTACGAAGGGTATCACAACTCAACTTTCAACACCAATGTTTTCCGAGGGTAGGCTTCCACACTCAACATCGAATTCCACGAGACGCTGGCTGATATTGACGATCTAGCATCCGTTTTGCCGCTCCGCCGAAACGATGGCAACTTCCCGATGCACCTGAGGTTGACAGGGCTTCCGTAACCAAGGCAGTCAACAATCCACCGAGATGTCCTCAGTCCGGTGCTGCGCCAGGGTAACCTGAGTCTTCTATTCTAGTCGTCAAGATACTGACATGGATTTGTCAGACCTGCCGCGGTCAACTTCACACAGGACGTACTGGGTGATGAGGACTGCCTCTTTCTCAACGTCTTTGCCCCGGTCAGGGCGAAGAAGCTGCCTGTTTTGGTATGGATTCGTACGTCTTCCACCAGCCCCAGTCCAAAGACCACATAGGTATTAACTCTTGCAGATGGCGGCGGCTATGGGCTCGGGTCCGCTGCTAGCTTTGACTTCTCCCACATGGCCCAGACCGTCAACAACGGCTTCGTCAGCGTTGTGATCCAATACCGCCTTGGAGCTTTTGGGTTTCTTTCGTCGGCAGAAGTAGTAGAGAACGGGGGGGTTCCCAACGCTGCTCTGCACGACCAGCGGTTTGCCTTGCAATGGGTGCAGAAGTACATTGATCGGTTTGGCGGCGACCCAGACCAGGTCACAGTCTCGGGTGGGTCGGCAGGCGGTGGATCAGTGATGTTGCTTGCGATGGCAAACAACGGAACAGAGGGGAACTCGTTGTTCAGACGCGGAATCGCGAGCAGTCCGTATTTGCCTACTCAACCGTACGTTTCCCTTTTACTTGCGTCATGATTTTGTGCTGAGGTGCCACAGCAATTTCGACGATGGCCTGCCAACAGAATACTACCGCCAACTCGCCCGTCGCACCAACTGCCTTAACGCCACCTCTGTCTTCTCCTGCCTCCGAAACGCTGACACGTTGCTCCTGCAAAACGCCTCCTCAGCAACAAGCTACTCTGCCCGGTTCAACCAGTGGGCTTTCATCCCCGTGACCGATAACAAACTCATCTTTTCCTCCCCCACCGAGCAGCTCCCTGCAGGCAAAGTCAACGGGGAGGCCTTCCTCGCTGGTGTAAGCCCCCCCCCCCGCTTCCCCCCTTTGCCCCTCTCCCAAAACAATGCTAACCACTCTGTGTGTACAGAGCAACTCAAACGAGGGCTACTACTTCACCCCCCAAAACATCACCTCCCAATCCACCTTTCTCTCCTTTGTCACCCTCAACTACCCTTTCCTGTCCCCCGAGAACATCTCCTCCATTCTCTCCCTCTACACCCCCTCCCCTCTCCCCGCCGACACTCCCCTCTTCGAAACCGACGGCCTCAACCCCCCTTTTGCGACTGAGATGTCAGCAGTTGGGAAGGGCTGGCAGCAGGCAGCGAATAATTTGTATGCAGAAACAACATTTGTCTGCACGGCGTACTGGCTGGTGGAAGCGTACGGGGAGAAAGGGTGGCAGTATCAGTTCTCCCCTCCAGGGGCAGGGTTTCATGGGAGTGACAACGGGCCTTTGCTGCAGGACTCCAAGATTGGGAGGAGTGGGACGGTGATGGATGAAGAGTTTAGACGGGGGTTTCAGGGGGTTTGGGGACGGTTTGTGACTAGGGGGGTGCCGACTCTGGATGGGCAAGGGGAGGGGGCGGTGGCGGAAGCGGTGAGGGAGGGGGTATGGAAGGCGGGGGGGAGGGACTCGTTGTTGAATCTGAACGTTACTGTTGCAGAAGGGGGGAGGGAAAGGGTGAATACCTGGGCGGTGGTGGATGGGGAGGGCTGGGAGGGGGGACGGGGGGGGAGGTGCAGGTTTTGGAAGGGGGTTGGGTTTCGTTGAGTTTGGAAGGTTAAGTAAGGAGACTGGGCTGCGTTGGACGGGACAGGTCACGGCGAAGAGAATAGAGACTGTTGGGGTTGGTAATAATGGTTATGTACTACCGCCTGGTATGTCAGGTGGCAAAATGCTAAAGTATATACAGGTGAAAATAAGATGTTTGTTGGTATTAATCCGACGTCGCTCATGCTCGTGCCCTTTTCCGAGTCGCATTGAGACATTTATGGGAGGCACTGGCCTGGAGGAAAGACACGTCAGCATGTGTGAGGCAAAGAAGGATAAGGGGGACAACATACTGTACCACTGGTTGGAAGCCACGCAAGTACCCTGAGCACAGGTGGTAGGGCCGGTATACCCCTGACCACCGCACTGGCCATAAAGAGGAGCACCGGCACCACCACCGTTTCCACCAGTAGGCTGGGGGTTAGGAGCAGCAGAAGTGGGCTGAGGCTGGGGGTTGGGGTTGGAGCCACCGGAGCAGGTGAGAGGAGCAGGGCCGGGGATGGTGTAAGGACGGCCGCCGTTGGTAGGGCGGCCCTGGAGGTCATAGATGGAGACCAAGATGCCGGGGTGGTCCGCGGTGTAAGCACCGGGGAAGCTGACAAAGTTGGAGCCGGTGTTGGTGCCAGACCCAGTAATCTCGATCTGGGCGCACTCCATGTAGAACTGGGCGGCACCGCGGACGCTGGCGGAGTGAAGGGCGAGCAGCTCGACGCGCATGAGGTAGTGGCCGGGGGCGACGCAGCTGGGCATGTCGAAGTAGTGCCAGCCGCCGTTGGAGATCATGTTGTCGACAGCCCAGACGCCGTTGTTGAGGCCTTGCTCGGCGACCTTGAACCACTGGAGGCCGGACGTGCCGGCGTTGGCAGCATTGTTGACCTTGGCGAGGTAGACCTGGATGGGACCCTTGTGGGAGGCGGCGATGGGGTGATCCGGGTCGTTGGGCCCGGCGGCACCACCAATCTCATGCCCCCACCAGGCACCGACTCTGGCGCCGGCTGGGACCTTGATCACGGTGTTATCCCGCAGCTGGATGTTGGTGTTGCAGGCAAAGTCGGGGTGGTTGACGTTCTCGATGGGGAAGTTGCTGTAGGGAGCGCGGACGCCCTTGAGCTGGCCTTGGTCGACGCCGTTAACCGACACCTTTTGGAAGATGGAGTGGGCGCTGACGGACGCAGCCAGGGAGACGAGAGTGAAGGCCTTCATTGTGTATGTGTGTGGAGAATCTTGGGGATGACTGAAACCGAACAAACAAGCTTTGGGAGATGCTCAGAAAGAAACAAGCAAATGACAAGAACAGGCGGTGGCGCTTGTAGGTTGCAGAGACAAGACAGTACTTTCTTGACCCCTCGGGAGTCAACTCTTCTTTTATACATCTCGTCCGATGTCATTCCGGTCTGGCCTTGCATCGAGGTGTGTCAAGTGTGTAATTTCGTTGCATTGTCCGCGGGGCAGCCTAGCGGCTCAGTATTCCGGGAACCGATTCTCGCAATTGCTCAAATAGGAAACGGAGGTATCCTCCACGACGGAAGCGAACTCGATCGCCTTGGCACCGTCCAAGCGGCACACCCAAAACCCGGTCCAGGTGCAAAAGAAAACCTGGGGTAGATGTGGAGGTAGCCTTCCGCATGGTCAGTCGGCCCGTTCGTGGTAACTAAGGGTGGCGTGGACGGCTTGTATGTACATATAGACCGCCCCCTTTTCATCCCCGTGATACGCTCGGAATTTTCCTCCGTGGTTGGAAACTTGAAGAATCTTGCTGTTTGCTGTAGCTACCAAGGCTTCTGCCCCACACAGACTCGCGTTGATGTTCCGGATATATTGATGATGGGTGCGGGATGCACTGTTGGTGGTGGTGATGATGCTGGTTGGAGGAATTGGGCTGCTTGATCGAGAGCCCAAGACGACGCCATCATCACCATTAATCACCACGCCAACACTCCAGGGTGAGAACGGCGTTGCACCTATGCGCACCAAGAGCACCAAGACGGAATTTTCTTGCAAATATATTGAACCGTCGTCACCTCTTGATAAGGACGGCGGGGGACACTCTACACATCCCACGTTTGCCCACCACCTATTTACCAAGACATTAATGACGAACAAATACAAGCTTTGGGTAGCATTTATATACTAGACCAATGACAGTTTCCATAAATAAAGCTGCCCCCACGTCGAACAGAGTGTCCTTGCAAAAAGATGTTATCGCGCCCTCAAACCTTAGCACAGAACATCGGCTGTAAAAGCATCCACCAAGGGCAAGCCAACCCGCTAGCAGGCTTTTGAGTTTCCTCGTGCACTATATTAGCTAAGTATCTCATGTTCTCTAACTTAGGCACCTATCTCAGCTCCATCAACACACAGGTCTATCCTTCTTGCATTCAAGAAAGTCGTCGTAAAGATGACGCAGCCCTCAGGGGGCCGGTTACACCATGATTACGGTCCCAAAAGCCCAAAACATGATGGATTGTATTTACAATGACCTGTGGTTACCTAGATAGTAATGTTATTTCATGCCGATTAAAACCTACCTACCCATCTACACTAACCAGCATAACTTCCACTCCGGTACAACCTAAATACGCGATGTATGCACGTTCAGTTAGGTAAGGTACCCAGAGATATCCTTTGTCACTGAAGGTGAAGTAGCATCCAGCTCTTATCTGATCGCTGGGCGCCACCCACGCTGCAATCGCCGCATCTTTCCCTGACCGCTTGCTGACTTTGTCTCTGTCACTTATCTACCAACACATCGGGATTCAGACGCTCACTGGCCCATGGGTTATCGCGTCCTCATCAGTGTAGCCCTGCTCCAGCATGAACACCGCCTTTTTCAATCCATAATATCTTGCCAGTTCCAACGTTGTCGCGTGGGATACTCTATATGGCGGGGGGTGCTTGTTACCCACCATCCACCCTGTCCTTGGTTCCATGCTCATCTTGTCCCTCATCTCGCTTCCGTATTTGATGAAACAGTTGTGGATATGGGTTTCGGTAGTTCGTTGCTGCCCTGTGCTCGCTCTGCGTAGCAGAAGTAGTGTTGCTAAGGCTTCATACCGTCCTTCAATCGCCAGGTGAAGAGCCGTCCGTTTTGTTGTGCTTTGACCTTGATACTCATACACTGGCTCTACATCCTCCGACCATCTATGCAATAGTGAGCGAGAGGCATGTAGGTACGGGTCAGGAGGTATGTTCCAAGCTTGGCTATATACCTCCTCGGTCAAAGCATTGATGGTGGCACAGCCTGGATGGCAGTCTAACAGTGCCCGGGCTACATCAAGATGTCCTTTTCTCGCAGCGTGATGTAATGCAGTATGTCCCGAGCCATCTTTTCTTTTAGCCTCTGCACCCTTTTCCAGAAGTATCCGCACGACAGCTTCATGCCCTCTCTTTGCAGCAAGCTTTAGCGGCCTGGGGTTGGAGCCATGGCATCCCTTGAGAGCAGGGTCGGGTTCGTTGGCTGTTGCCCACCAAGGAGGTGCCCGATTATCAATGATTTCCTGGTTGAAGCTGGGTTGGTTAAACATCAGTCTGACAGCGTTGGTAATCCCAAAGTGTGCTGCCAAGTGTAAGCCTGTCCACGGTTCTTTGGTGAAATCTTCGCCTGAGATGGCCCCACTGTTCCTCACAAAAGCACAACATGCATCTGTCTTGCCTTTATTGTGCAATATAGCCAAGGCATCTTGTATCAAGCCAAAGGACGCAGTGAGGTCATCAGGAGGGCTCGTAGTCGAGGTACCCCAGCTGGTTTATTTTCGGAAAGTTCCAGTACAGGGCTTCAAGCAACTCCAAACTGAGCACTTCTAAGCTTTCAGGGTTGACCGGGGCGAAACGGACAGCCTTGAGTACCTCTGACGGCGAAGCATCATTGCCCCCGTGTCTCTTAACACAGGAAACGTCAACGAGGGGCTGAGGTGTTGGTAATACAGAGGTATGGCGGATGGACACTTCCCAGGGAGTCAGACAAGCTGGATATTCTGATTATAGTGATGCTGGTATGGTTATGGTGAGCGTTGATGAACCTGGCGAGCTCATGCGCTCCCCTGACCGCCTCAAGAGTATGTATCACATCTGCTGGTTTGTTGCTGCAGTTCTCTTCACAGCCCATCATGTAGATCTTCAAAAGCGCACCCATCAAAGCTTCATCGAAGAAACAAACCTCACCGCCAACCCCGTCACCACCTCCGGCGCCTTTCCCCCCATCCTCAACCCCTCCGTCGGCCCCTCAAAATACTCCCACACCTCAATAAACTTCCCAATCTCCCTATCCACCCCCATCTTCTGAAAAACCAACTTCATGTTCCTATGATCCTTCAAACTCACCAATCTCCCCGCCTCCACCACCGGCCCTGCCGCCCCTGACCCAACCCCATTCACCGCCGTACCCCCACCACCACTCTTCACCCTCTCCCTCTCATTCTCCCCAAATATCGCAGCCAACCTAACAACATGCAACACCAGCGCCGCCAACCCCGCCGCCAAAGCCGTAGCAACCGAGCTCCCCGTGTTCTCCTGGAAATGACTCGGTATACTACTATTAATCGTCTCATGCCGTGAAACAACCGAACACCCCGGAAAGATAAAGTTCAAATTGTGGGTGTCACCCGACCTCTCCCAGGGTCTGCCATCGTCGGTAGCGGCACCAATTCTGATGATGCGGCTACGATCAAACTCGTAAGGGTACTCCTCGTCAGAGAAGTTCCCTGCGTCGCCTGCCGCGCAGAAGACGAGGATGCCGGCGTCGAGAGCGCGTTTGATGGCGTCTCCGAGGTCTTTGAGGTCGGCGTCGCGCTCGCGTTCTTTGGGCTTTTTCACAGTCCAGGAAATGGAGATTATATCTACCCCGCGGGCGACGGCGGCGTCGACAGACTGCACGGGGGTTAGGATTTGAGCGGAAAGAAGAGGGAGCGCATACGGGGGGTGGCATACCTGGGTGGCGCTTCTGGCTACGATCTGGTTGTGAGTCTGCCCATCGACTAGGGAGTCCGGGGAGAGGTGTGTTTCCAGCTTGAAGACGTAGAGTTTGGCGGTTGGACAAACTCGGCAAATCATATCCGCCATGACGGTGCCGTGGCCGCTGGCAGAGATAAAATAGGGGCTTGGGCCGTTCTCATCTGGTTCGCCACGGTCAAAGGTTGCTCCGCCAATGACTTTACCCCCGATAGAGGAAGTATCGATATTAACTCCATCATCAATCAGAGCAACAGTGATGTCTTTTAGCAGTAGCTTGTGCTGAGTTGGAGGCACCTCGACACCTTGGATCCCATCGGCAAAGGCGTCCATGCAGTTGAGCCACTTGTGGGCAGACAGATTCCTCTGGTTTGCTACACGCATGGGCTTAGCGCGGGTGCCGGAAGATGAGCCACTGTCCCCCCGCGAAAAGTTCTCCTCGATGGTTTCAACAGTGATTGTCCGAACAGGCCCATCCATGGAGGGACGGTCTCCGGTAACAGTCCGACGAATCCCAGGAACGGGAACAGCCTTGTCATTCTGCGGTCGAGCAGCAGCGGTGATACCCTGCTTCTCCAGCTCATAATTCCGGACGGCTTTTCGTAACCGGCGCTTGAAGTCCTCCACATAAGATTGGATGCGGTCAGCTGGCTCTAGGACTTCCGCGGAATTCCACAACAAGTGGATAGTCTTGAGTTTCTCAAGCCTCACCAACCCATCCGGTTCGCTCCATGCCCGCAGGACAGCCCTGTTTCCACTCCACCACAAGTGCAGATGGCGGACATGTTGACAGGCGACAAAAAGTGTTTCGGGACAGATGTCCGATTTCCGCCACTCGAGACTCTCAATCTCAAAGTGCTTCAGGGAGTCTTCTATGGCCTTGTCACTGTGAGGTCTTTCGGGCCAATCGTCGACCACGACCTTGAGGATATGCTTGACAGACTTCTCCCGAAGCCAGTTGAAAAAGAAGACGAGGTCCACCCGGCCGCGGCCAGGCCTTGGCTGCTGTGCAAGACGTTTGGCGTGGAGTTTGCTGGTGTTGTTTCCGGGGCTGTCCAGCTCGATCTTGTTGAAGGCGACATATCTTAGGACGCTGTCAAAACGCATATGAGCGAAGCTCTGTTCAAAGTTCTTGCGGGTAACTGGTGAAACTGCTTTGGAGTAATCAAAATACAAGTTCCAATCTGGTGGAGCGTCAGTGACAACACCGTACTGTCGTGATGGCTCTGATACACTTATACGTACCCTGGATGTTGGACCCGTGGAGAAATCGCAGTGCCTGGCTCTGATCTCGCGGTTGAGGACGATCTGGTGTCTGGAACGTGGACCGAAGGTAATGCAGTTTGATACCCTGGATGATCCTGTCTGCCCACTCCCTGTTCACATCACGTTTAACTCCATTGATAGGTCCCGGCGGAGGTGGGTCCATATTTCTTGTTGATGGGGCATTGGACTGTTCACGGATCGCCTCTCGTCCTCGCTGAGGTTCAACATCGCCCCCCTTCTTGCCGGGGGCATGGTTTGTCGTGCGGCCCCGAGAACTTTCCACATTGTACAGGTGAGGTACGTTATCTGGAAGATGACCGACTCGGCCAGACGGAGATTTTCCCCGGTTCTGATTTGAAGATTGAGAGGTCCCGTTCGGCTCACCAGCCTGGCCCGCCAGCAAGCCCGTTTTTCGTTCAGCATCCGCCCGTGTATAATAGTGATATTCGTAGACAGACAGTTGTGAGGGATTGGTAGTGAACTGGTCCAAGCATTCATCTGCTCTCTGCAGCAAAGCCTCAACAATCCGCTGCTGGCTAGCAGAACAGCGGTCGTACTGAATGGCAAGATGCAAGGGGGTCAGGCCATCATAGTCTCCGGCGCAAAGAGTGCCCTTGGAGGCTCTCTGTATAAGATTCAAAGTATGTTGTTCGGGGAGATTGTGGATTATGGCAGCATGGATGCTGTTTCTGCCGTGGTCGCATGTTCTAGCTAGCAGGCTGTCCAGATCTCCGTTGAACTTTTCCACGATGGCGCGCAAGACATTTTCGTTTTTCCTGGTGATGGCAATCCAGAGAGGTGTTTTGCCATTGTCGTCGGCCACGGAGAGAAGCTGTGGGCTGTTCTTGATAAGAAGCAGGGTGAGGCCTCTGTGGCCCACTCTGTTGGCAACAAGGTGGAGGAGTGTTTGATTTTCCGGTGCAACACGCCCTTCAAAGTACTGCTGATACTTCTGCTTGAAGGCTTCTCTGTACGCTTTGTCGCCCAATCTCAGCTTATTGGATTCAGCATCAGCGAGAATCTGGTCAAACGCTTCTTTTGTTGGGTCTTTTTGAATGATCGCAAATGAATGGAAGGGGTTGTGGGCCGGTCCGTCGTCGTACTCCTCGTCGCTGTCGTCAACTTCGACACTCTGGGCAGGTGGAAGGTCTTGGGTGGTTAGAGTCATCATGATTGTCCGTAACGTATACAGAGGTGAAAGATGATAGATTGAGTGAAGCTGTCTGCACAGGTGCCCCCCCAGTCAGAGAGGAGCGGGGTGCCTCCAGTCCGCATCTCCTCCTGCAGCCCAGCTTCCAGCCTCATCATTGGAAGTCCTGATACGACTGGCGTCCCACCCCACTCACACCCCACCCTGAGTGAGCACTAGTAACGCGCCTTTCCATAGTGAACACAGTGCCGATACAGTCCCAGTCCCCAATGCAACCCTACGATGGCTTCGCCACTGGGTGCCTCCTCACCTTTGTTCAGGTAGCCCTTTTCTGAAAGTGACGTTGGGAACAGTCGATAGCTGCTTGAAAGCTTCCGCAAGGTTCATCTCATCATAGTGGGTTCTCTTGGACTCGATTGTCGGATCGAACAGGACCGGATCGTCAGGTGGTGTAGAGCCGAACACAGATTCCAATGTTGTACGCCAGTCAGCGCGCGCCTTGATGGTGACGGAGCACTGGAAAAGCTCTTCATCCTCCCTCTCAAGCAGGACAGCGGCCCGCATGGCGACGGGAACACCGGTCTCGGTCGCGGGATTCTCCAGCAGTGTCCACGAAGCCGAGTTTGGCTGGCCAAAATTGCGCCCCCGGAGAGACTTTGCGCCCACAACGGTTGCAGCGTAGGTCATATCCCTGGTGATGCTCTTGTCTATGCTGATACCGGCGCTCAAGGTTGGGGCAGGGCCAGGAGTGGCGCTTATACCCAGATTTCCCGAGAGCGTGCTTGACTCGGTTTGGGTTGTTGGAGCAACGGTGAAGTTTCCGTCAGGGGAAATGGCCCTGACCTCGGGCTGGTAGGGACTGTTGGGATCCAAACTACTGAATCGGAGGTCAATGTGGACGGAAGCGATGCGTCGGGCGCGTTTGCGGGAGTCGAAACGGAAGTCGAGGACTATCAGGGTACAAAGAATATCGCTGTCGGGTGACAGGAAACCGTGGACTACATCGGCACAGGAGCACCGGACGTCGACGGCGCCCTTCCGTTCAACGTAGTTCTGCCGTTGGAGAGGCTTGTTGGGGTCGTTTTTAGTGTGAAACTGACTCCCACTGTCGCCAGTGGGAGCAAGTGCGATGTTCCAAGAGAGCGAGTCTGCCGCTTCGTCTTCCATATTTTCATCCGAGGTAGCGGGACGGAGCGATGGAAATGAACATTCGAAGAGGATTATGGGAAACTAGGGTTATCGAACCAGTCTTCTATGACGACGAGGGAGGGGTTTTGCTTACCGGCCTGCCACCTTTCCTTTCTCGGCATCGCTTGATCGAAAAGACCCCTAAAGCGAGTGATTTTGTCGAGAAGCAGTCTTCGCGAACTTCTTGGTTCTTCTTGGTTGAGCAGAAATCCTTCAGGCCTCCCTCCTGAAACTCGCACTGTACAGATAGATGTGTGCTAACCAATGGCGATTGAGACCCAATCATGCAATTTTGCGGCACAGCTGCCTAAACCTCCCAAAACCCCGCGCCTTCGACTCCACCACCCACTGCAGATGATGGGAAGGAACGACGACGGGGTTCTGGCAGGCACAGAGGAGCCCCCAGAGCCGAGGGGTGCTCGTCTTGAACCGTCAGTCTTCACCATCCCATACTCTTCTCATCATGTCGTTGGATATTCATTTTTCTGGTGAACCTGGGGATGCCAGCTTTGAGTATGTCCACTCTGCCATGACTCGGGCACAACCATCACTGACAGATATCTTATCTAGCCTAGTAGCTGTCCATGGATTCTTTAACACATCGAGCGAAGCATGGGACCTTGGTTCGGAATCCGAACCATGGTTGAAGGAGCAGTTGACGGCCAAAAAACGCTATGGCCGCCTTCTATTTCATAGATATGACACTGGCGCCTCCGCAGTTCAAGGCCTCTGTGGTCGAGATGCAATCCAGAAGGAGGCCATCATGCTGCTGCAGAAGGTTGCCGAACAACGAAAAGACCAGGACCCCGTGAGTCCATCGGGACCTACAAGACAACATGATATTATGACTAAACCCAGAGTAGCCTCGACCACTTATTTTTCTCGCCCTGGACTTTGGGGGGTTAATCATCAAAGAGGTGCAGTGCTTGATCATTTTGCTGCCTGCTTATTGACCTCGATCTTCTGACCTCGAGTATTTCCAGGCCATCATCCAAGCGAGCAGACACACGCTTGAGTTTGCAAATATCAGTGCTTCTACCCGTCTAATGGTATGTTTCTTCCATATTCCGTCGCTGTAAAATCTATGCACATGCCGAACTAACCTTCCGTCCCCCGCTTCTTGCAGTCTTTCGTTGGTACTCCGCACAGATGGCACAACGAACAAGACCTAGAATCAAAGCTGGCCAGCTTTCTATTTGCCAAGCGGCCTACAGCTCTAACTGTTGAGGACATCAATCGGCTGGCGAAGACTGTCTCATCCATCTCTGAAGAATTCCTACAAACAAGAGCAACCATCCACAGTACACTAATCAGTGTTTGTTCAGAAGCTCCTGACGCGTATGGGGTGAGTCAACTCAAAGTTTCCGTGTTTGTTTCTGGATAATCGCAGCTAACGAAGAGTTCTAGATTCATCAGATCTTCACGTCGAGTTTTGGCATTCCCATGGAGTTGCGCTTCTCCGCCCAGTCAGTTGATGCGGTCCAGGAGGTGAGCGTGCGGGACGCTCTTATCGAGACTCTAGAATCGAGAATTCTTGGAGTGATCAACAGTGTGTTATCTACACCCAACCACCCACCACCGACTTCTGTGCTGACATGTGTTGCTTTCAGCCCCAACTCCAACCCACACACTAGCTTGGCTGAACGGTGCTGTTGTCGTTCAGGCTCCGTCACCCACCCCAATTATGTCTGTAAAAACAGCCGACAGTGACCATGTGCCATTTTCATGGCTGGATGATAGCCCGGTTTTCAAGGAGTGGATGAACCACGAAGGATGTAAAATCATGCACATCCATGGCTCGTCCAATGTCTCAGTCGCCGCGTCTTATGCCTACCAACAAGCCCGAATACACGCGTCGACTGGAGGTTTTACAAGCGGTCTAACACTGTATTTCAGATTCGACCGCCACGATTGTCAAAGAAACACCATCAAGTCAATGGCGACCTTATTCCTCGCTCAGACTATTGCCCGGTTCGGCACCCTTCCAGCCTCCGCTCAGTTTCCAAGCTTTGAACCACCGCTGTTTGACAAGGCCCTTACGGAAAAAGATGTCTTCTTTTTGCTCAACAGCTTTCGACTGGATTGCAACAGGCCAGCAAGAACGACATGGGTGCTGGACAGACTCGATGAGTGCGAACCAGCTTCGTGCAACTGGTTTCTTAACGAGTTGGCCTCAATCGCAGCGCGATGCGAGTTGTACTTCAAGGTCTTGATTACTACTGCCAGTCCTAAGCATGTCCAAACTCAACTTGCTGCCGCCGGCTGCGAAAGCTTGTCCTTGGATATCGCCTCCTCGCAGGTGGGCCCCGGAATCAAAATACCGCCGGTCCCAGCCAGTCGCCACTGTCCAGCGCTCGAGCCGTATGCACCTCAACTCGGCGATCTGCTTGGAGCGTGCCAGCCTGACCAGGATCTTTTCAGAATGGTTGTGGACTGGCTTAATTTGCAAGCTTCTCGGTGGAATACAAGAGCGGAAATAGCCGAAGTGGTGACGGCATTGTCTCCCCCATCACCGCGGGTGCTGTTGGGAGCGGTAATGCAGGCTGTACCCACACTTTTACGGCCGATTGCTCGCGACATTCTTTGCTGGGTTCGGAACGCGGTCCGGCCTCTGACACCACTTGAATTAGCATCGGCCCTCGAGTTTCAAGGAGCTGACTTGGGATGTCTTAATATCGAGTTGTACATCCCCAAGATCTTCGGACCACTTCTCACGACTCGCCACGGTGAAGTTCACTTCACACAGCCATGGGTTCGGGAGCTTTTGTCAAATTTGGAAAAGACGACCCATTGGTATGCGGCGGCCTCGACAGCAGATGATCACAAAGAAATTGCCAAGGCGTGTCTTCGCTTTTTGCGTCTTCCTGAGACGATCAAGGCATTGTCTCAGAGGTGTGGTGGGGCAAAGGCCTCGGGAGTCTTGCTCACTAGCCGACACGACATTGTCTCCTATGCTGTCACGTTCTGGCCAACACACTACCGCTTGGGATACCTGGCAGCAGACTCATCGGCTTCGGCACCCCAAGACCTCATTTCATTCCTTGGAGATCCGAAAGCTTTGAGAGCGTGGTTCAGTGCTCATGGGTGCCTGTTGCCGCCGCACCACCAACCCCATAGCTCATATCTTTCCGCCTTACCTATAGTCTCGCATTTAGGACTGGAAACACAGGTCGAGAACATGCTTCCCATACATGCCGACCTTCCAACCAGCCTTCAGGAACTAGAGGACGCTTTATGTGAGGCTTCCAGAATGGGTCACAAAAACATTGTGGATTTGCTGCTCAGCAGACCATGGACATTGACGTTGCACGGTGTGGTTGGGGCAATGGAGGCCGCAGCCCTCGCAGCTGAGTATGAGCTAGTAGAAGTGTTGTTCGCGTACGCCAAGAACAAACACAAGGACCAGGCGACATCGCATATGTACCCTCATTCCATCCTTGCTCGACTAGCTTGGGCAGGGAAGGGGAAGCTTCTGGAGTCACTGATGCAAGGTCGCCCATCCGGAGACCCAACAAGTCCAACAGTACCAGCCTCCAAGCTTTTGTGTGCTGTGGCAACCGGTCAGCTCGGCACCATTAAGACTCTTCTCCAACATGGCGAAGACGCGAACTTTCAAGATGACACCCGGCTTTCACGCACACCTTTGCATATGGCATGCCGATCCGGATATGGGGACGCAGTCAGGGCTCTCGTTGCAGATAGCGCCGCGGATATTGAGGGTCACAACGGACAGGGCCAGACAGCACTGCAGAAGGCCATCAATCTTGGAAACATTGACGCCACGAAAGCTCTCTTGGACGGTGGCGCAGACATCGCCAGCGTCGAGGCTGAGATACCGCGGACCGATGGCTCTTTTCCGTATCCTGCTTTCTATATGGCTGCTTGCGAGTCTAGCTTCCAGTGCATTACGGCGGTGCTGGAACGGGGTGTCAATGCAGATGCCACCACAGATGAGTACACCCCTCTCTGCTATGCAGCCGTCACCGGAAAGCTGGCTTGGGCAAAGCTTCTCCTGGCTCACGGAGCTCGAGTGAATGGATTAGGAAAATGGGTCCCGCTGTGTCAGGCCACCGCGAAAAACACTGGAAAGAATATGGATATGGTCAAACTTCTGCTTGAGCACGGCGCCGATATGAACGCTTCGGGTCCAGCTGACGTTGCTACTCCATTGGAGCGGGCTTCGGAGGCAAACTTGTTGGAAGTCGTCGAGTTCCTCATGGCCAAGGGGGCCGACATTGGGCTTCACGGGGCTGGAAGTACAGCTCTGTCCCGTGCTGCCTCGAAGGGTCATACAAAAATGGTCCGTTATCTTTTGAAAGCGGGATCCAACCCCAATGAGGCCCATCCAGAAGCAACATCATGGAAGGCATTGCACTGGGCGCATGGTCATCCCGAGTGTCTAGAGGTGCTTCTAGATAGCGGTGCCGATATCGACGCCATGTCGAAAGACGGCACCGCAGTATACATTGCGTCGTACAACAACCACCTGGAGTCTGTCAAGCTCCTCATCTCACGTGGAGCCAACCTCGAATTGACATGCGAGTTTCCAGACTTATGGGACTCGAACTGTACAGCTCTTCTTGGGGCCGCTGGAAAAGGCAACGCTGAAATTGTGCGGGCTCTTCTAGATGCTGGTGCCGACATCACAGCCAGGTCGACAAGGGACGAGACAGCTCTGCACCTCGCGATTAGCCATGGAAACAGCGAGGCCACAGTTAGGGTCCTTCTCGAGTATACTCCTGATTTGAATGCCCAAGAGTCCTTCTTTCAACACACCGCTCTTCATCGACTGATGTTGGAGGCAACCACGCATCTCAGTATAGCGAAAATTCTAGTCACGCGAGGGACGAGCCTTGAAATACGAAACAAGGGAGGATATACTGTTCTCGATTATGCCATTTACTGGCGTGAGTATGAAGTTGCCAAATACCTCGTCAGGGCAAAGGCCAAAATCAACACCGTCGGCAGTACTTGGGGAGGACCGCTCCACATTGCTTGCTGGCGAATGAACCTTGATATGATCAGGTTTCTTATGGCGAATGGTGCAGATGCTAACCTGATTGATAACTCCCGTGGTGTACCGTTGCTCGTAGCCATGACTGAATATCAAGAGGGAGAGGATGTGACGCTTGAGATGAAAACAGCTGTCGTCCGTTATTTGATTGAGGAGGCAAAGGCGGACGTGACGGTTCGGGGAGGGATGTATTTCATCACGGTTCTCAACGGAGCATGCATGCAACCGGATGCAGACCTGTTGCAATATATCCTGGACCAGGACCCTGTGGATTCCGACATGAATACAGCAGGCTTCAACGGCTGCCGGCCCATCCACTTTGCAACATATCAGAGTTTGGAGCATGTTTCAAAAGTGTTGGCCAGAGGGGCTGATATCAATGCCTGTGACAAGCTCGGACGAACCACCCTCCACACAGCGGTCGCCAGTGGCAGACCAGATGTTGTCGAAAAAATCTTATCACTGACCGGGAGCCGGTATATCAACGAAATCGATCGAGATGGATGGACACCGCTGATGTGGGCGGTGAGGCAGTGTTCACACTGGGGTGTGAAGTCGGATAATCAAGAAGAGATTGTCCGATTATTGCTTGATCACGGCGCCAGCCTGTGGATAACTGGCAGGACATGCAATGAAGAGGGATGGTCAGCGCTGAAGTTGGCCCGCTACTATGGAGCCTCCCAAGAGGTGATTTTACTGCTTACCCCAAAGCAGAGACACTATCTCGATGACAAAGGAGAACCCCAAGTGTGGGACCCGCAGGCACATCGTTCCCGCAGGGCAAAAAGACAAAATGGCTTCTGCGACTTGTGTCTATATGTAAGTTCATCAGGTTCGAATCCTATTTCTCCCAACCTCCAGAGCTAACACAATTGACAGACCCTCTGGGGCTCGGGGTACGCCAACGGACGGCTGTGGCTTTGCGCCAAGTGCTACACGTATCAGAATGAGTTTTTCCCCGAACTGAAGGACTGGAAACCGGCGAACGATGGAGAAGAGTTTGATCCTGACGCGCCGGAAGAACAGGAGGAGGAGGCAGAACCAGCGGTGGGTGAGATTGGCGAGCCGTCGCCAGGGCAGGTGAAGCAAGTACAGACCACGGAGGCGGATTATTGGTCTGATTCGGATTCGGATTAGTTGAATATGGTGCTCGGGGAACGATATAATTCATCTGCAATATTGGACATTTATCCATGCGTACAAATCGACCTTATCAGAGTCACCAACACCTGCATTTGTATCGCCTTGATGGCCCCGCCCACGGTCCCACCACGCCCCTGAACCCCTTTATCCACACCCTGCTTTGTTTACTTGCAAGTTGGCGTTGGCACAACAACAATGCGCGTTCTATCAACTCCAAAACATGAGTAAGGGGTTGGCACATCATGGGTTCACATGGGCCATCTGGGTCACATTTCGATCAGTGTCTTTGGTCGCGCCAAGCAGAACTATTGATGAACCCTTGCGGCACCGAACGCGTCAAATCACGCGGCCGAGCCTTGGTATTCAGCTCAGGCAGCCTTCTCTTGGCCAACGCTGCGATTTGCTATTAAAGATCACCACCCACATTTGCCTACGACTGCTTTGTTTGCTTCGCCAATCCCTTCAAAAGAAAGACTACAATGCAAGTCCGAAAGCTCAAGACCATCGTCAAGACCCTCCAGGCCTTCAACTACCACACCGCTTCCAAGCTCGAAAAGCCCGAGACAGACTTCCGCCTCCTCGAGCTCTACCCCGCATCGGCATCATTACCTTCTAATTCGAGGCCGTCAACAGCAGAACCCCCCGATAACGCTTCCAAACCCCAGCATGGGAACTCTCCAAAAAGCAATAATACCATGCCATCAAAAGATACCCCACCTCCCCTACTATGCCGCCTCTTCACCACCCCCCTCACCAACCCCTCCACCACTCCCTTCAAAGCCCTCTCCTACGTCTGGGGCTCCGACGCCACCCCCCATTCCATCAACGTCATTTCCACCCTCCCCAACGGGACAACCACAACCCTCTCCCTACGAATAACCTCCTCCCTCCACACCGCCCTCCTCCACCTCCGTGACCCCGACGTCCCCATCACAATCTGGATCGACCAGCTCTGCATCGACCAGTCCAACCCCGCCGAAAAGTCCGCCCAAGTCTCCCTCATGGGCAAAATCTACTCCGCCGCATCCCAAGTCCTAGTCTGGCTCGGTCCTGCCTCGCACAACTCCGATTCTGTCATGCAGCTCTGGGCCGCCGTCGGCCAAGAAGTGCGCGACATGGGCATCGAAAGGTACTACACCAAAGAGGGCTGGCCCCTCCTCCACGACATCATGTCCAACACCGACCCCTCCGACCCCGAGACACGGCAGTACCAAGCCCTACTTCAAAAACACGCGCCCGATTTCGCTGCTCAGATCCGCGACGGAAGCATCAAATCCTGGTTTGAAAGGCCCTGGTTCACCCGTGCGTGGGTGACACAAGAATTCTGCCTCTGCCCCGACACCGTCTTTGTTTGCGGCGATCAAAAGCTCGATGTCGACTTGGTGATGCTCGCGGGGCAGATACTAAGTTACTCAACCTTGCTCCTCGTCCGCCCGCCTTATTCCCTCACGGTGGAGGAGTTATCCTCTCTTGACGATCCCACGGCGGATTTCTTCAGCTGTCGGAAGCGTCGGAGGGGTTATGAGACCAAGACTGGGGATGCAAAGGGTGACACGCTTTTCGTGCTGTTGAAAAAGATGTTTGTCGGCAGGGAGACGTACGCAAAAGTTTGGAGGGACAGGGTCTACTCGCTGCTGGGACTGGCGGTAAATGCAGAGGCGTTGGGGATAAGGCCTGATTATGGGGACTTGTGGGGGGAGGAAAAGACGGTGGAGATTATGACTGATGTGGCGAGGAGGATGATTACGAATGATTACTCGGAACGGGTGGATGTGTTGTGTTATTCGAGGTTCCCAAAGGAAGTTCCAGGGCTGCCGTCTTGGGTGCCGGATTGGAAGACGAATACGGTCAAGTCGTATTATCAGGTGCAGGAGGTGGTTGACCCGCATTATTTTGCGGCTTGCGGGGAGGGGAATCTGGAGGTTCAAGTGGTGCCATCTTGGTCAACACGGGTGCTGGGGTTGGGGGGGTTTTGGGTCGATACTGTTGACATGCTGCCTCCGGGAGATGGCAAGGAAGTCTGGTCTGATGTGCACAGATGGGATGGGCCGCGCTTGATGGGGTATCTGAGGCAGGTCGAAGCTCTGCTTGAAGCGGCAATCTCTAGACCTAGCAACCCGTATGGCTCCGACGAACGACGGCTCGAAGCACTTTGGAGAGTTCCCATTGCAGATACGTGGGATGATCGGTCGACGGGGGTGCGAGCGTCTCGAGAGTTGAAGGTCGATGTGCAGTTTCGACAGGTCGTCGAGGCGATGTTATATGACATTTGGATGAAAACAACAACAGCTGAACCGGCAGAAGCTCAACGTATCATGGACGAGTTCAACTGGGACGAAAGAATGAGGAAAGATAAGCTGGGGGCGAAGTACAGGCAGTTTATGTTATCTGGTGGTGGTAACAAGAAGCCATTCTTGACGACGAAGGGCTACGTGGGCATGGGCCCACCTGATATGGAAGTAGGAGACGTGGTGGTCGTGTTTTGCGGTGGGAGGATCCCGTTCGTGGTGAGGCAGCTGCCAGCCAAGGAAGATGGAAGGAAGACCTTCTCGTTTGTGGGTGAGGCGTTCTGTGATGGCATCATGGATGGGGAGGCTGCCATGGAAGAGAACCGTGGTGACTTTTTCTTGGAGTAGGTAGTGGGTCGTCATAAGGCCAGTGTAACGTTGACGATGGATGGGATCGAGAGGGCCTGCCGCCAAGAAGTACAACGCTGCGGAGATCTCGGCAGGGCACCCTGACTCTCCCCGCATCTCCCCCACCTTTCCCCAATCAACCCTGTCGGAACTTCATCAAATCTGGAAATTCGGAACACCACTCCGGAGGACAACGCGACAACTTTTTTTTGTTTGGAATAGCAGCATGATGATGGGGATGATGGCGGGTACCGCTAGAAGAGACTTGTGTCCTTACCAGCCTCGGCCTCCTCTTATTTACTTGAGGCCCCCCTCCTGAGCTGCGAGTCCTGTGTCTCTCTCCTCCTCGGACTTCACCACACCACCACCACACCACCGCCAGACCACCGCCACTAGTCCTCACACCACACCACCAGCAAAATGAAAGTCGACTCTTGGATGATGGCCGCGAGCTTCCTCGCCTCCACCACCTCCGCCCTCGGCCCCAACGTACCAGAAACTGAGAAGCGTCTGCCAGGCAAGCCGGCGCCGATGCCGAACTGGAAGTGGCCCAACCCCTTCCAGTCCTCCCGCGCCGCCAAATACGAAGCCACCTGCCAGGTCCAGCGCTCCTTCAAGGCCGAAGAATTCAAGCTCGATGACTTGGCCCAGAACCCACCCCTCGGCTTGCTCCCATGGCGCGACGCCCTCAAGGATGTCTTTGCCGAGCGCGAGTACCCTGGTGGATGGGATGGTATTGACAACCACGGCTACGACCGCAACATCCTCAAGATGGATTACGAGACTGTTCCCCTCAAGGTGAGGGAGTGGATCGAGGAGCAGGAGCGCAAGGAGCTCCCCGGCCAGGGTCTCTTTGCCCTATTTGCCAGACCCGCGCCAGGGACCAGAGTGTTCAAGCAGGTGCCCGTTCCAAAGGAGCCCACTCCTGAGTTCAGAGAGAAGGACGACAGGAGAGTCCTCATCTTCGCCCCAGGGGCCATCTATGAGAATCTCCCACTCTGGCTGGGCGAGGACAGCGGGTGTGACGGTATGTTGTTTGTTGCGATGGTGTGTCTGATGTGAATGCTAACTTCTACCGTGATAACAGACGAGATGTTGGATCTTGCCAAGTATTCTGGTCAGGCCAAGGATGGCGGTGTCATCGGTTACCCCATCTACCACAGCAAGCCCCAGAGGTCGAAGGGCGAGCGCGACATCGAGTTTAGCCTCTTGGCTCAAGTTGTCAAGCTCAAGGAGGGCGAGACAGAGGAGGTAGCAGAGAGTTCCTCGCAGGCTGAAGCCGGGGCCAAGACAGAGGCAGAGAAGCCCGCTGTGACTGAGGTTGTCAAGGAGGCTGTCAAGGAGGCTACCGAGGCCGTCAAGGAGGCCACCGAGGCTGTCAAGGATGAGCTCTAAAGGGCTGGGCATGAAGAGACACCAGGACGATGGTAGAAGGCGTCAGAACAATTGGATAATACCACCATACCTTACATACTGCACATGTACAATATTTCCTTTGTGAGTCAAAATAAACACCGAAACATCTTCAGCAAAGAGCGGATACTATTCAAAGAGCAATGACATCGTTGAACAAAGGGCCGGAGCAACTCGCGGCTATCTTGAAAATTGTCTGTTGGGCCCAATGGCCGACCAGCGATGCCAAATTTGGAGCACTTGCGTGGACGGGAGTTAGATCCAGTTTTGTATTTGTTGAGAAGCGGCCACGGGTCTGATACGGCCGAGTGGGCTGATGCCTTGCCTTCCACAAAGAGATGCTCCTAGTTTGCTCTTGCTAGGGAATCAGGAGTGGGCAGGGCAAACCCCCAGGTATTTATTGATGGCCTCTACCGCACTCAACTCTCTTCCTCATTCACAGAGCAATCAAGACCAATCTTGCTTTGCATTCACAGTTCACCATGATCTCACTCATCACCCTCATTCCCAGCGTTTTGGCGCTCTGTGGCGTATGTCCAAGGCTCACTCCCTTCTTCGTGCATTTCTGACCATGACGCAGTTTGTCCACGCCGCTCCCGCAACCCTCGGTCTAGCCCTCGACGATGTTGATGATTTCACCATTGTTCCCGTCTACTTGGAACTTCCCATCAAGCCCGACGACCCCAACGGCGCCACGGTGACTGTCGAGGGCACCATCCAGCAGGCCATCGCCAAGATGGACACTGACTACCCCGGCTGGAACCAGACGTTCCAGGCCGGACTGGGTGATGTTAGTTACGTTAGCGCTTCGCTGGCTGCGCTAGCTGCCCTCGAAGGCCCGACATATGACTGCAAGATCAAGACCGACATGGCCAACAGCTTGGCCATCAAGTGGGGCATCCACTATCTGCGTGCCATCCCGGGCAAGGCCAAGAATGGGCCTGGACCCAAGAACTGCGGGCGTGTTAGCTGCTCGTGGGACTCTGCTATCTATTGGTGCAATGAGGTATGTTGCCATGTTTCTCTGCTATGTGTTATGATGTCTGACAGGAGCAATACTACGCAGGATTCTTCCGGAGACAAGGAACTTTATTGGGGCCAGATTGCCGACCTGGCTCAGGACATTCTCGACAACTGCGCGGGATTGACCAAGGTGAAGGGGCAAGGGACATACAAGGATGACAAGTGGAGCGTGGTTGTTCGTTTTCCCAAGGGCAGCGAGGGCAATTGCTAGTCGAGGTTATCGCTGCCCTCAAGACACACAAGATATGGGATTCGGCGATGATCTGTGATCCGCGGTTGGTAGTCTGAAATAAAATGATTTCAGAGCTGAACTTCTGCCGCAAAACTACGGACTGTTTGCTAAGGATGTTTAAACCGCAACCGTAATAACGAAGAGGGTTAAACGCGATGTTTTGGTGCGTGAAAGTTGGGTGAACGACACACGGTGTACCTGGGCTAGCGACAGAGTGCGTGCATATATCAACGGCATCTTCGACGTTGCAAAGTGAGCTTGGTGAGTAAAGGGCTTATATATCTACTAACCCTTCTGCAATTGCACCTTCTGACTCATCTGATTGCGGCTTTCGGTGGTGGCCTTCGCTGTCGCTCTTTCCAAATAGCCCCCCGGCCACACCTAGTCGACTCACACAACCGCAAATACGGTTGCGTTCTCTACCTACTTACGACAACCACCGAATACGGTCTTCTCACACAACCAAGGGACGTGTCTGGTCACCTGGCTCAGGCCCTGCCAGCTAAATTACACGCCTGATCCTTTTTCTCAGAGCACCTCACCAGATAACGTGAACCACCTCACGAAAACACCTTAACACCTTACAAGATAAGCTGAACACCTCGCAAGATAACCTGAACCCCTCACCTTACATGTTCAACCCCTAGTTATTTCCCGAGCACACCTCACAAGATGTCTCACAACGACGACCGCGTGGAGGCGTTCACCAAGACCTTCGAATCGGCCATCGAGGCGGCGATTTCGAAGCAGTTCACCGACCTCGTCTCGGCCGAGTTCCGCCGCATGAACAACGATCAGGAAGCCGAAATTCAGCGACTCGAGGAGAATTTCCAACAAGAGAAGTCGCGGTTTCTGACTATTGCCAAGGCCGCCGCCGGCGGCAAAATTAGCCAGGACAAGCTCGAGGTTCTCGCGGACAGGCTTTTGAGAAGGAAGGAAGGGAGTCGTCGTTGGGTGCTGTTCCAAGGCGGAGGAGGAGGAGGAGGTGAAGGAGGAGGAGGTGGTGGTGGTGGTGGTGCCACCTGGTTCTTCGGTTCCGGCCCCGACCCCGGGGGCCCAAAGTCATCGCCAAACGGTCTAGGACCCAGCCCGAGTTTGACCCTGCGGCTGGTGGGAGCAGCAAGAGAGCTCATGTGGGCTTTGCGGCCGAGCGCGCCGGTCATGCGTTCGGAGACGAATCCCCCGCGCTGGCAGGCGTTGGTCGTGCCGTGCGCAAGCGGGTCGAGATCAAGAATCGCGACGTGTCCGACTGGGAGTCGGAGGGGCAGGACGATATTTTTGAGGATCTGGAACTTGGGATTGGGTGGATTGTGTTGAGGTGTGATTTGGGGGCTGATGTGGCTCCTGTTAAGTTTACAGAGGATCCGTTCGCTGTGCCGGGGCGGCTGGCGGAGAGGCATTTTGATGGGTTTGAGAAGTGTGTTAAACATGATCACCGGCGGGTTTATACCAATGAGGATAGTTTGAGGGAGTTTGGGCATCGAGGTGAGGGCTTTGGAAGGGGTGGACACGTTCGACGCATGCTAACATACTTTTGTGGTGTAGTGGTTGATGCCGGGGGCTCCGCACCGAGTCTGGAGTGGGTGTTGGCTGCTAACTGACGATTTGCGACGGAAGTGTTTAGGCGTAGTTAGCGGTCTCGGAGGGGTTCGTCGTCGGCGTATGGCGCTTATTAATAGGTGTGTAAGAGGAAGCTGGAGGTGTGGGAAGATAGTGGAAGGCGTTTAATTTATCATTGGTAGGCCTTGGAATGTAATTGACACGCCTTGAAATGATGGTAGAAGGCCTCAAACTATGATTTATAGGCCCTGGCATGATACGAGAAGGCCTCAAGTTACCATTCGGAGGCCTTGAACTGATAGTTCAAGGCGTTGAACTATTATCGAGGGGTATTGACTTGAGTTATCTTGTTGTTTGGAGGTTTTGGCTTGGACTTGTTATGTGTTTGGAAGTTATTGAAGGGGATCTTAGCTATGGATGTTAGGCCTATTTGGGAGTTGACAATGTGCTGGAGGTTTTCTTTCAGGCGTTGAGATACTTTATGTAGGCTAGTTGTATTCTGATAATGGGAGTGATTGACGGTCTTGTTACGGCATTTTGAGGCTAGCATACGTCTCGAGTGTTTGAGATTCTGTGACATGATAGGGCATGAACTTTGGAAGATAAATGATATACATGAAGCTATGCAGACAGTATGTAAGGTTGATAGCTTTGATGCAGTGATTTTATGCTGCTGGTATCACGAATGAAAACACTCTGCTCTGAACCAGACCCTAACCCTCTGCGAGTGAGCATAGGCCAGAGTACTTCCAAGTTGTCACAATTTACGTAGGCTAGGAAGTAGATTTCACGCGATTCCGCGTCTGCGTCTCAAAAGGATTTGAGGCACAGAGCGGGCCGAAGGGCGGGCGGACCTGTAGAACTAAGAGGAATCATCGAAAATACAATGAACTTGAGATTGGGCCATTTGCCACCATTCGCAGCGTACATGACAAGCCAGCTCTTCCCCAGCTCGTTCTACACGCCTACAACTCGACGCCAAGCGGATAGCTTCCGAACCTCTGGAATAACCGCGCCCTTTACCCCATCCCCACGACCTTGGCAGTGGAGTATCTCTTTGCCCGTTTTGCCTGGACCATTTTAAGCCCCCATGTCTTCGATGCGTCTCTCTCCTCGACGTTTGTGCCGAGGCGCCTGCTTCTCTGGAGTTGCGAGAGGGGTGAATGGGAGACCGAAGAGGCTAGTCCTGAGTTGTGCGGGCAGATCTGGAAGAATTCTAGGTCGCGCTCCCCTAGGAAGAGAAGCACACCGGGGTCCGACGATCCCACTGATGAGATACTAGGAATGGAAAGCCTCAATCCACGTGATAGCGGCTATTTTGGAAGAGATACCTTGAAGAATGATGGCTGCTATGATATTGACGAGTTCGGCTATTCTAAGCAATATGAGGAGGAGCGTTTGGGGCGGCCACGGAAGCGGAAGCGTGGCTCGAGGCGCGTATCGATGTTGAGGACCCATTTGCTACAGTAGTCTAAGAGCTTGGCAACTAAGAGATGCGATCCAGACTCACTTTTTAGGACCAGCCTTGTCTACCAGAGCTTTCAAATATCAGACAACCTTTTACCCAGAGACATGACAATCTGATGAATTCACCAATTTTTAGATCAATCCTGGGTACTTCGACAACTCGAGGTACTCTTGTCGCGACTCCAGGATCAATTGGATAGCTTTGACCGTGGTCGTCATCGTGTTCTCTCCAGTCAAGGGAAATATCTTACCGCTTTTGGACTTGGGTGGGGGGTGTGGTTAGTTAGTCTGTGCCACCCTACTCCCCTGTTGATAGTTGATTTCAGCTTTGGAAGTCCTTGATTTCGGAGTGTCCAAATTAACTACGTTTCAAATCAGAAAAGTCTGGAAATTAAAACAACGTTTCGATTATTATATAAGACAACATACTGCTGTTTATAGGTACCTAAGCACTCTCCCTATTTTATAATTGCCTCTAGGTTCTTTATCACTTCTTATCAACAATTAGCACTCATGGCGGCATACATACCTAGTTCCTTGGCATCAGCTGCCGCTCTCGCGGGCTTAATTACTGCCGTTAAATCATCATGGGAGTTATCTCGTATGATAAAGAAGAAATACGAGCACCATGTGTTGAAAGATTAAGCAAATGAGATTAATATTAGGTTGCGCAGGGCTTTGTGGACCGGCAGAATTTCCCATCAAAACTATAACTTCTGGAAGAAAAAGGTTTTAATGGCAGTCTGGGAACAGGACCGTAGGTTAACACACCCAGGAATCCAAACCCATCTACTTACCACAGTATCTAGGTGCTACTCTACTTGACATTAAGTCGTACTTACGCTGGGACTAAATCGGATGGCAATAAGTTTTGGTTGTGAGTAGATAGGTACTATATACTCTTAGGTTAAATGAATCTATGTCAGGGGTCTAGCTCGATAGAAGCCTTTAAAGCGCCTTCATACATGCTCCCTCGAAAAGAGAAATTGACAGCTAGAAACTTTCGTTTTGTCGCTCGTGTATTTTATAATGGGCACCGCTTATATCCCGTTTTCTCCCAACGAATTAGACATGGACCACATAGCATATGACCTTTAAGTACCTATTAGCGAGTGCGTGCCTAGAATCGCCTTCAATACTTACTACATCTTGATGTAAACATCTTGTTTCCAATTACGTATCCCTCAAAGCAGACAGAGCAGTCTGTAGCATAAAGACGCAGTGATGTCTGGCTACATACTATGCCCTGAGGAGAAGTGTGAGGCAGATTATGACATGAATGATAAGTGAGACATCCACAAGAAATACACACCATGATCTTGCCAATCTAGGTGCTGCTCTGGATGACAGCTGAGTAGATATAACAGTTATGAACTTCGTCATCGGTGAGGTCGATGCTAGCCTTGAATGGTATATGGTTGACCGACAGTTGATGGTCGTCTTCCTCGGTAAGATCGATAACTTGCCGGGCTTGTGGTTGGGAATGCGAGGGCATGGTTGAGGGTGACTTGACAAGTCGGCTGTTATGTATCTGTGCGAGTCAAGATTTCCTGGCTCTCGGGGAGGAAGGAGAGGGGGGGTGTCCGTTCTTATACTTTCTCAGTCACAAACCTGACCATCAGGCTTGATCCTTTCGCTATACCCGAATAAAAAACCGCCGTCTACTACTTGAGAGATTATCACGGGCTAAGGTTGAGCTGGATTCTTTCCTCGGATATTCATACGTTGAAATAGGTGAATGTCACGGCTTTGTTACGCTAAGCGCCTCGTCCCAGGTAACAACGACATTGTTTAACGCATACTACCTATACATGATCAGAAGCACTTCCGAGTACATTGTACCCTCCTTGCGGACAACTTACCCCTCGCTGCCCCTCGCTGTATCATCACGCGCTCTCCGGAGGAAGTTTCACGTACAGGAAAGACTGTCATCGAATCATCCGGCTGTTATCATCAGCTGCAAGGTAATCACATCGGGGCCTAAAGCTGGGACCGTCAGCAGGTTCTTCCGTCTCCCCGCTTGCCACCCCAGATTGGACTCTTAGAGGATGAGAAGGACAGTGCGATGGCGGGTATAAGAATCCGTGCGCCCTCTGTCACTCCTGCTCTGCTCCTCTTCATCTTCCTCTCTCTTCGTCTGACTTCGTCTCTCTGTGTCTTCATCATATCTCACCGTCCGTTTATCGTCGGTTGTGATCTCCTCCTTTCTTATCGATAGGTACTCTTGAATTCTTGTCGTCTGCTTCCTGCTGTCGTACTTTATTCTCGACTGCCAGTATCAAGTTTTCCTCGCCCATCGTTGTTATCAGCACCATGGCCAGCCCTTCGACTCTCCCACCGTGTATTTCTCCGCTTTCTAACAGCCAAGGCCTCCCAACAGAGTCTCACGAACCTACGGACATTGATCCTCAATTCTCCGCAACGCTTGGCTTGAGCACCTCCACCCCCACTTCTCAACCTACCCAAGTCATCTCTGATGGTGCAATGGAGTCCATGCTGCCTTTCGATGCGATCATGGCTTCTGAGCTCGATCTGCTGAACGAGATAGACTTGGCCATCAATCTCGCATCTCAGGACCCTAAGCTGCTTGAAGAACTGGCTGAACTCTTTCGGTTCGAGGAAACCCAGTCGATGAACCAGACTGTCACTCCCATTGAGGTAAACGCCTCGGACGGTGGTGCCTTTCCTGTTCAACACACCGTGTCGAGCGGCTCAGTGCATGCGCCTCGAAACGACCCAGAGCCCTGCACTACTGGGAGTGAAAGGGCACCAACCCTTGATTTGGATGTTTGGGATAGTCTCTGGGCGCCCAGTTTCTCTTTCACGACAGAGGGCCCGTGCCCTAGTCTCCAATTCCATGATGTAGGAAGCGCCAACGTCGACATATTTACACCCTGCCTCACTCTGGCTGAAGATACCCTGTCACCCTTTCCCGTTCACAAGCGACAGCTCAGCTGGCTGAGATGGATCCCATTCCTCCGTTTGCGGTAAACGTCGTCATGGGCAGCCAACACGACACCGCAGTCCATGAGACTGACCAGGTATCCATCCACATCAGCTCACAGCCCAAACAGTCGCCCGTTACATCTAATGATAATAGCGGAGTCGATGCGACAATATCCAAAACTGGCGTCAGCGATGTCAATATGAACGCAACCCAGGCGTCGTCACTGGAAGTGAAGCGGGAAGATGAGGACTCCGCAGATCCAGTTCTGCTGGCATCTAAGTATGACGCTTGGGAATGCAATTCATATGCCATCACGGACAACCATGCAACCACCCTCACTCGGGAGAAGTTGAAAAAGAGGAAGACCGATCTCGACCTCGAAGCCAGCGACCCGCTCCCACAAAAGCGACCATGCATCAGAACAACCTCGGAGGCCATGGCTCCTCCTGAAAATGCATCAGACGTGAGAAGGGAGGCAGATGTCGACACGCATAACAGCGAATCTCATGACGACACTCATGTACTCAATACAAAGAGGCCTCGCACCCAAAAGCGCCGATACCGCAGCGCGTTGCGCAATAGCGAGGAACCAAAGTTCGTCACACTCAGCGATACTGTTGGGTCAGATGGATATATCAAGGACTCATTTCCTCTACATATTCACAGTCTGGACATGCACCCTGACCCGACCGACACTTTCATGCTCCAGTACCGCTGGGATCGTCGGCAGAAGCTTTGGGTGACCGATGCAACGGGCACCGAGAGTCTACCTCAACATATCCTTCCTGCCCCCACGATAACGGCAGACCAAGTGCTTAGCTTGGTGGCGGCCGTCCCCGCATTGTTCGATATTTATCTTCGGGTTGGCTATAGCACGAATTTCGTCATGTCATGGGACGACTCCGAGAGCTGTTTCATCATAGATGATCCTATTGTGTGGTGTCTTTCAGTCGTTCGTGGGGATGTGTGACTGAGAACAAAGTGGGGTGATCAAACAGCAAATGGTTGGTTGGTTCAAAGCCGGGCTGCAGTCAGCGGTTGCCGGTTGCGGTTGGAAATAGTGGGTCTAAGCGCATCAACCAATCGTGCAGTCAATGGAAGGTCAAAACGGAGCCTCTTCGGGCTCAATCCCAAGAAGGAATCCTGCTGCCTCGAGAGGTAAAGCGGCATCACGACCCGCGATTCCGACACTTTGCTCCAAGGGTGTGTTGCTTTATTAGATGTCGGTACCTTACCATCGGTGACCCAGCGATGATTGGGATGGTTTACCGGAGGACTGGAGTTACAACCCTAGAGCTGTCCGTCTTAGTGTCGGGCCTGCTTGGCCTCGGTACACCCGCTCGAAGCGAGCGCCACGTAAACTCCTACCCCGGTTTACCGACTGATCAAAAACCCCGACCCCGGAATTCTTATGCAATGCCCACGTGCATAAACTTTTTATCCCTGCTCGGGCCGTGTTCCGACTTACTTAGTACCGCGGACTGCGGACGATAAGATTTAGAGTCGATGTGACTGCTGCCGTGGTGGAGTGATGCTCGGCTCCAAACTGCTGGCCGTACCGCGCTAGATAAACAAATCAGGTCAGTAGTTTAGGCAGCCGAGTAATGGCCAATGATTAGCTGTTGTGAATCTCTGTGCCCAGCATCGGTAAAGACTAGATGGTACGCTGTACACACTACGATCTGGGAGCCTCCACCAGTGGACCGGCGGGCTGGTTGAGAATGTCGTTGTCGTTGATGGCGTACCCATATTGGGTGAGTAGTCTTAAACTTCTGATATCGAAGTACCTTGGCATGGAGAGAGTATAAAGTCGTCGTGCTCTGCCACTGTCTTTGCTATCAACTCTTCAGCACCAGCTTCCTCCGCTTCATCAACTTCCGACTTCATTCTACCCTACCTACCTACCATCCACTCAACCCTCAACACCACCGCAGCCAACATGTTCGGCCTCAAGTTCACCCTGACGTCCCTCCTCGTCAGCGCTTCCCTTGTCAGCACCGCCGCGGCTCAGGCAGCGTACCTTTCACACCCCTATGTCAAGTACTGCGATGGAGTCGACCTGGGAGGACCTTGCGAAGTGATCTCGGAGGCAGAAATTGGGAGATGCTACAGTATTCCCTCACACATGAACGACAAGGTAAAATGATCCGGCGCCCATGAAAGAACTCTCACGGTCTCAGTCTGGAAATGCTGACGATATACCTACCTACAGCTCAGCAGTTATGTGGTCGAGAACGGCGAATGCGAGTTTTACAGACACGCCAACTGCCAGGAAAGGCTCTGGACGGCCAGAGACCGCTCTCACATGAGCGTCACGACCTCAGGCCACAACAATGCGGTCTCATCCATCAAGTGCACAAAGGGCTGCTGCAACCAGAAATATTTTGACCGATGCTACATTCCGTGCAGTATGGGGTGCAGAGGTAATGCCATCGACCCGTGGTGCAACTACAACTGCTCCAAGGACTGCTGCCCTAGTGGCGATTACTGCTAAGGGGCAAGTCCCGCTCACAGGGGTTGACTTTGACGGCAGAGGGAGAACGGCGGATAGGGCCGAGGTGCGAGGTTTTGAAATCTTGGACATACAGACTAGGTATTTAATACAACATCATTGATATCGGCCTCTTTGTTCCAAGTCACTCACTGGACCATTCATCTCGGATGTGTATGCAATATTACATTTTGGAGATGTGAAAAACTTGTCGCAATGACTCTTGTAACAATCATCTTCATACTCTTTGCTAAAAAATACTTGATGTCGGCACAAATGCTGGGATCTCAGGACGGCACAGGTGGTGGGGCCGAGCGGACCCGGAGCTGACCCGGGTTGTGGGGCCGGGGCCGGAGTGAGTTTGGAGCACCGGTGGGCAAGCTTCTGGAAGCTCATGAGATGACCCCGGACCAACTATTTGAAGTCTTTCTTACCAACTCACACACCCGACTACATCACCTTATGTAAATGCCAGTTTGACTCCCACTCTACCGACGACTGCGTTTTCTCCTTCTGCCTCTATTCGCTTAAATGTTCGTGCCTCTCTTCTGAGTCGCGCTTTCTACCAAGAATAGACTTGCTTTTCGTTGTGGCCTCGTCTGCTTCCCTGGCCTCATGTGGCCCCTTAAAAAGATTGTAAAGCTGAGGCCGAAGGGCAGCAAGCCATCGCAACGCCCATTTAGGCGGCGAAAAACATTTGCCGCTTGAGTAGTTGAATGTTAGCCCTCTACAAGAGCGGTTTCCGCCAGGCCCCTCGGCTCACCCAACGCAAAATCCTCGTTGGTATAGTTCTTATTATGAAAGAAACCCTAGACCGGGAGGCTGTATGATGGTATACGTGGAAACGGAAAACGGGTGGTGCGATAAACCCACTTTATCGGATCAGACGGACGCGGTTCTCTGCGAGGCAATGATGGTCCCTGCGGCGTATGCAGCGCTGAATTGGAAGCACAACAACGCTTTTGGATGACTCAGCAGGGAGGTCACGTGTATTTAGCTTGAGCCGTAATCGTGGCCTTTCTTTCTCACTCTTCTGAAATTATCACCAGTTTTCATCCATAATCATGGCACATTCATTCATAGGCATGAGACTATAATATATGCGTTATAATCACGAGGCGGAAGATATAATGTATATAACAGAAAATTGCTATAGGTCCATATCTCGATCAAAGACATGTAGCTTTAAAAGATTTTTCGAGTTCGGTAACGACCCTCTCGCCGGGGCATTATTATAATAATTGTCACGAAGTGGCCAAACGAGAGGCAATGCTGCAAAGCTATACTCAATTGACGAAATACTAAGCTAAAGAAGAGAAAAAGGAAAGGAAGGCTTTGCCTGGCCTGGCCTGCAAGGCATTTAAGGTGCAAGGCTGCAAGGCTCGGTGGGGCAGGGCAGGTGAATGATAAGATAAGGTCAGGGTGCCAGTGCCAGTGCCATGACATCACCCCCCCCCCCGCAAAGAAGCTCGCGTTCCGAGTAAGCGAGCGCTGCTGTAAAAAAAAGAATTTGCTGCTTCGAAGACTTGAACTTGTGCCTTTCCGACATACTTTTCCTCCCAACTCCGACAAGTGTGCATCAACCTGCATCAACTTGCATAAGACTTGTTCTGACCTGCATAATCCTTCATCACTTTCCTCTGATCCGTGTCGAGCGACGCATGGCGGAAGCCCTCCTGACGAGCGGCTTGTTGTCATCCGGGTGTGGAGGGTCGAAGCGATCTTCTTCTGCCGCTTTCTTCCATTCCGCGAGCCTTTTCGGTGGACCTGGTCTATCGGCGTATTCGGCGTGATACTCTTGTAATTTCGATGCTGAATTCTTGAAGTTGCTCGCGTCGTACCACTCTGGATCAGGGTCCCAACCCCTCCATTGGACTTAATACTATAATCTACCGTAATACTTGCGGGAGGTGAGAATCCGATCGACTTCCCATTCTTCCTTGCCGTCAAGCTCGTTACTCCCCGGGTTCTCTGATTCTTGCCCAGGTAGTGGGTTGGCGGGGTCCTTTCGCAGCCGGTCTGCGTGGAACACGCGGGATCCGCGCCACGAGGCTGGAAGCTTTAGCTTGTAGGAGTGTCCCTCCATTTTCTCGATCTCGTAGGAGTTCCGTGTCATCGGGAAATCCAGTTTGTCGCTCGGGCGGTCCGTTGACCAGTTCCTCTTGATGATAAACACCTTGTCGTTAGGGTCTTCTTCGTTGACCTTGAAATCGGGGACTCGGCGTTTCTTGTTAGCCTGGACCGTTTGCCGCTGTTGCGCCTTTCCCATAAACTCGCGAGCTTTCGTTACCTAGGATTGCAGCAGTTTGGCGCGTTCCTGTGCCTCGCCGCGGTTCAGTCGTTCTCTGGCCTCCATGGGTTTCGAGAGGTCGGTGCGGGCTTCCCAGTCGAAGTGAGTGGGCATTGGGCAGCCCATGATAACTTCATGTGGCTCGCAGTTAATCGACTCGTGGGGAGAGGAGTTCTGAATCATGTCCATCGCTGGTATCGCGATCGACCAATTATCCTAGTGGTAATTCACGAATGGTCGTAGGCGCTGGTCGATGTACTCGTTTATGATTTCGGCCTGCCCGGCGGTCTGGGAGTGTCCCGACGACGAGAGTTTCCACTTGACTCCGAGGATTCGCGACAGTTTATCCGCAAAGTCGGCCACGAACTGAGGGCCTCTGTCGCTGACGATCTCTTTTGGCACTCCGAATATACGGTAAGGTCCTTCGTAATACATCATCGCCGTATTTTTTGCTGTGGCACTTGTCGTGCACGGGGTTGACCACACAATCTTGCTCAGGCGGTCGATAGTAACCAATACGTTGTTATATCCCCGTTTGTCCATGGGCATACTCTTGAAGTCCATCACCAAGCACTGCCAAGGGCGCTCAGGAGGCGGCAGCGGGTGCAACAGACCGGGAGTCTTGTCCCGGGGGTTCTTGGCTGGGAAACAGTAGCAATTCGCAACGAACCTGTCGACGTCAGCTACCACTCCGGGCCACCAGTATCGGGCGGCCACCAGTCTCCTTGTCTTGTTCCTGCCAGGGTGAGCTGTTGATATCCGGGTGTGTACCTCACGCAGGATGGCGGTTCGCAAGTTGTCGTCTTCCGGGACCACCAACCTCCCTTTGTAGAGCAGTATCCCACCACTCGTCAGGGAGAACTCGCTCCTCGTTCCATCCGACGCTTTCTCCCTATACTCATCCAGACTCTCCGACGTCTTGTTCATCTCAATCAACTTGTCCACCAGCTCCAATCCTGACATCTCGGGTGCAGGTGCATCCTCATCCAGCACCATCAAGGGGAAGACCTCTCCTTCCCACACTTCTCCTTCCGCTATACCCTGGACATCCAACACAGCTACCACCTGCTCGTCACTCATATCTTCCTCTCTCATGGGTCGGAAGATCTGCATCGTTCTCTCCGCCTCCTTCTTGTCCTTCTGGGTCTTCAAGTCTTCGGACTTCCTGGACAACGCATCTGCCGCAGCGTTTGCGCTTCCCGGGCGGTACGTGATCGTGAAGTGATACTGGGCTAAGAAGTCGGCCTAAGTAGCTTGTCTCTGGTTGAGCGTCCTCTTGGTGCTGAAGTACTCTAAGGCTTGGTGATCTGTGACGACCAGGAATGGTTGGTCTCGAAGCCCGATCAGTTCAGCGCGGAAATGCATCATGGCGCGCACCACTGCCAGCATCTCCTTGTCGTGGATAGCGTAGTTGTGCTCAGCGCCTTGTATGGTTTCCGAAAAGAAGGCTACCGGGTGCTAGCCGTCGTCGTGTTCTTGTGCGAGCACTCCCGCTAACACGCCGTCAGATGCATCGGTTTCGATTCGTGTAGGAAGGGCGAAGTCGAAGTGTTTAAGTACCGGTGCCGACAACAACAACTGTTTCAGTTTATTAAAGGCTTGTTGTTGTTTACCCCCCCAAGAAAAGGGCTGATCCTTCTTCGTGAGCATCGTTAAAGGACGGGCGATTCTGCTGTATTCTGGTACGAACTTCCTGTAGAAGTTACAAAATCCTAAGAAGGATTGGACCCCTTTGACCGTGTGTGGCTCCTCCCACTGCTTAACGGCTTTAACCTTAGCTGGGTCTACCTCAATTCCGTCGACGCCTACGATAAAACCTAGGAACTTGGTCTTCGGGACGTGGAATTCGCACTTCTTGATGTCTGCATTTAAACCGGCCTCCCTTAAACGGGCCAAGACCTTCTTGACGTGCTCTATGTGCTCCTCCTCCGAGTTCGAGTAAATCAGGATATCGTCGATATACGCTGAGCAGAATACATCGAGGTAATTCAGCAACGTGTCGTTGATAAAACGCTGGAAGGTCGCCGGACCGTTGGTCACTCCAAAAGGCATCACCTTGTACTTGTACGTTCCCTGACGGACCTTGAATGCCGTCAGCTCTTCTGATTCTTGGTCCATCTTGATTCTGTGGAAAGCCGAGATGATATCGATCTTGGTGAAGATCTTCGCTTTCGTGACGCGCGACAGTGTTTCCTCGATTAAGGGAAGGGGGTATATATCCTTCTTTGTAAGGCTGTTTAGTTTCCTGTAATCCACGCACAGTCTTAATCCTCCGTTCGGCTTTTTTACAAAGATGACTGGTGCTGCCCAGGGGGCCACGCATGCCTCGATCCATCCTTTCTGAAGGTTCTCCAGGATATACTGTCGACAAGCTTCCAATTCTTCCGAGGACATCTTGTACAAGGGGTTGGACCCTATGTCTTCAGGTCTCTTACCCGGGGTAAGTTCGATCTTGTGGTCGTAGTTGCGAGAGGGTGGCAATCGGTCCGAGTCTTTCCTGCTAAACACATCTCGATACTCGTGATAGTGTGACGGGAGCACCGAATCAACCAGCGCTCTCAGACTCTCCTCATCTTCGGCCAGAGGGTCGTCTTCAGCTTCTCTCTTGCGGGCGATCTGTATGTACTTGTCGATTTCCATCAGGGTGATAACTCCCACCTCAGGGGTGTCAAGCTTCCCTGCGACCTTGAGGAAGGTTTCGGCTTCCAACACG